GTGGTGCCCGGGAGTATTACAGGGGATGCCGATGCCAGTTCCCATTGCAGTTGTTCCACACTGCATCTCAGGTGAGGTTCTCTACACTTTGAGTCAGGGCACAAAGCTGCAGCTCAGCCTCAGCTCTACCCCTTGCTGCAGCCCCTCTCCCTCTCAGGCTCCCCCAGCAGAACTCTTAGAGCYAGAGGCCGCTTTGCCAGCTCAGCTGCATCCCTTGGTCCCAAGGGGAACCTTGCCTTCTCCCTGCCCCCATCCTGCCCCGGACACCAGGACCTCTGCAAGGTGCAAGATCAGTGACAGTGGGCTGCAGGTGGTGTTTTGATTCTTGAAAGCAGAGTCCACATCTCASAAATCCTTAAGCAGGGAGAGCTGTGAAATACAAGTTTCACCTCGCAGCAGTTGTTAGAAGGCAGCAGAAGGAAAAGTCTGTTTCTCCATCTGGTCTGTGCTGCCTGGCTTCTCAACTCTCTCATTTTTACTTAGAGCCACGGTGTTGATGTTGTGTTTCKGCCTGTCTCGGTGCCCCTGGGCAGAGCTGTGGGCACAGTGCCCGTGCAGAGGGAGGCTGGCAGCCAGCAGCCATGGATGCAGGAGCAATATCCATCCTCCCCAGCCTCCTGCAGCTCTCTGCACTGTCCAAGCACGGTGAACAGGGGAAGAGATTCCAGCTGGCTGGCTTCATCTTGCTTGAGAAACACGGGCTTTTTAGTCTGTACCATAACAAAGCCTGATTGTTTCAGGGATATAAAAGTCTCCTGAGTTTCTGGTGAGTTCCTTCAGGGACAAGGCAAGACAGGCCACCTCACAGCTCCCTTTGCCTCTGGCACAGCTGCAACTCCAGCCCAAGGGCTGCAAGAACTGAAGTCTTGGAGAGATGGTGGGGAGGGCATGCAAGGGAACCTGCAGAGGCCACTGCCCTTACATTGCCTCCCCCAGTGCTGTTGGAATGGGGACATGGAACCAGCCCATGCACCTGCTGATCTCCAAAGACCTCACCAGCGAAATTCTGCCATACCAGGGTTCTGCTTCTTGCTACCCATCATCCAGAGCTGTCATTTCCTTTTCCTCAAAAGCCACATCTCTGGAGAATTCCACATGACCACGACAGTGGATGACAGACTRCTGTCTGGGATTCATTTGCCCATCTACATAAAAACATACTCAGGGGTGAAATGTTACTCTAAAATGCAGGTGTGGATACAAATAGAACCAAAGTGTTATTACTCAGAGAAAAGGCTGAACCAGAGCCCAAATTTAAAAACAATTAAAAAACCTGGTTTGTGTATAAAGGATTTTTATTTTGAAAAACATTTTTTCAAATTTTTGAAATACAGTGTAAAGTACAACATAGAATTATGCCTGCAAAGTCAGCTTATGCATGTCATGCTAGTTATTTACATGGAGATATATACAGAGTGCAGGTAATTATTGAAAACACGCTAAAAAATAAACAGAGTTCAATAAGATAATTTAGTAGGACTTTATTAAATATAGTTATTGATTGTAAATACTTTCCTATTAAAATACCATATAGTATCTAAAGTAACCCCTATAAACTCTAATACCTCCAAAATTGCCATAAATATGATTGAAAATTGAAACTATCCACGTGCCCTATTCAGCTTTGCCCTCTGCTCCAACAGARACTCTTGCAGAGATAATGGTGCTATCTTTAGTGCCAGAGCTTTGATGACAATTCCCAATAAAACACTTGCAGAAAGCTCAGATGCAAACCAGCTTTCAGCTGAGGCATCCAAGGGTCGAAGCACCGTGTTCTGCACCTAAAACAACCAGGATAATCTGATGGCTTATTAAACACTGCCACACACAGGACAATTAAAGAACTGATGTGATCCTCAGGGACTGAATGAGTGGCTGTTTGGATACCAAGCACCTTACTAAAACAAACCAAAGCAAACTCCCAAAGCCCAAGCAAAATCTTAAACAAAAACAGAGGAGAGCTCCCAATCGGTACAGTTACAGCCTGACTGACAGTGGGCCTTTAGCAGGAGCAGAGCTGAGTGGGCTGCAGCAGCAGCAGCAGCAGCTCCAGGGCTCTCTGACCAGCCAGAGAGAGACTAAAGTTGCCCACGGCTTTGATCTTTGGCCACTGAGCAATTTCTACAGGGCTCCCTGCTGAAATAGAGAACAATGCCAAGCTGGGTCATAGATTATCCCATTAGCAGAATATTCCAGCTCCTTTCTGGGGGCTTCTGGCCAGCAAACCCTCACTATAAATTACCAAAGGTCTGTTTGACTTCACTAGAGCTTTGAGAGTTTCCATCAGTRGAGAAGATCTATCCCAGTCGGGAGGATGTGTCCCCCAACTGCGATTTCTCTTCCTGCTGCTCAATCCAAAACTGCACCACTTTCTTCCTTAGGGAAAGAAGTATCCAGAACAATGTGCTTTTTAGTTTCATTATTTATTCTGATGCAATCTTATTAAGCAGAAAATAGGCCAGGGAGAAAAGTTAACAAAAAAAAAAAAAAATCCAATCACTGCCAGTGCTTTTTTTTTGTTGTTGTAATTACTGTTCTGAACTGCAGAATTTTACAACTTTTCATCTCCTAACATATCTTTTCTAAAGGCACATTACAATTCAATCCAATTACAGTCAAAGAACAGAGATTAGCACCAGAAAATATATAAAAGGAAAATAAGTTACTATTACTATCATAGAATAGCGCTGGTCAGCAAATCTGTGCATCTTTTTTTTTTCCAGAAATAATTGTACAATTATAGATTAGTTAGGGACATAAGTGATAGCTATGGTTTAATTTAACAGTTTTGTTACATATAACTCTAAATGCCAAAATATGGCAAGGACATTTTAATACTGAACTCACAGGAATTACACACAAAAAATGTAATCTTTATCATAATTAATAAAAAGTGTGAATATAGAATATTAATATACTTTACATATTTATCATACAATATATCAGTCCTTCACACTATTAATTTGATTCATGTTGTGCTGCAACATGTATCAAAACGTTTAAAAATGAAAAAACGTAATTATATGTTGTGGGTACAGACATTACTTCCACAAGACAAAGAACAACCACAATGTATCATCTATCTTGAGTTCTACGTGATATTTGRAACAAATCTGCTGCATCCTTTTAGGAATGATAGTAATAATAATTATTATTTTAAGAAATGTTAAACCTTTGCTTTTAGAGTGAATCTGACTTCCATAAAGAATAGTAAATCAATACTAATTTAATTCTGATTGCCTAATTTTCTGGTAAGGCATTATCAAAGTATTGTATCTTCATTTAAATGTTATATGGACTTCTGATTCTTTGCTGTTATCAGAAAGGATTTTTGGTAAGGCCTGAGAGCATCATTGTCAGAGAAGCTCTGGTGCTGCCCTCTCCTCCCTCAGTCTTTGCAGCCCTAACTCAACTTTCTGGGTCCCAGTACAGCTTCTGGTAGAAACAAACTCCCTCTTGAAAGGCAGGGAAAAGCTGGGGCACCCACAAGCCAGCAGTGAGATCATACAAAAAGTGCTACTACGTGCTGCAGAGGAGAGTACAAGAAAAAAACATTACAAGAAAAAACATACAAGATTTCCAAAAATGAAAACCCCTGCTCCTGGAGAATGAGTGGTTAACTGTAAGTAAGAATAAGCATCACCTTTTTCAGAGGAAAATGTCATTTTAAGGCTAAACCACTTAAAAATTATTCATGGCTGGTTCAGAAGAAGGGCCTGACAAAGATGCAGAGCATTACAGAGGAAAATACAGATTTGTTTTGTGGGCAGCACGTGAATGGAATCCAGTTTCTTATGAAGTCATCATCTGCAATCCAAATTTCCATCTAATGTGAGATGAATGTGTGGATACAGAAGAAATACCTCTCCTCCATAGGGATTCCTCCAGGTTTTTCTACATCCTTTCCCTCATCATTTGCAGGCTCTACTTGCTTAATCTGTAACTGAAATTTGCAGYTTTACAAAATTTTTAAATGAACTTGGTATTTTTGACTTCTCTAGCTTGCATTTAGATTAGCTGCTTTCAAAACACAGTATTGGAGAATTGTGAGACCATATGCAGGAGATGTGAAATTACCTAGGCTTAGTGCTTTTTTTCCCACTTATTTTTAAATCAGGCTAGAACAAAGCAAGTAAGAGCAAAYATTTTCTACATTTTYTATTTCACAATWCYTCAAGAWTTGCACAACTAAATTGCCCTTAAGAGGTATGAAGAGTATTCAAAGGATGATCAACACAGACCCCCAGCAACAGACAGAAGCTGGGATTTTCCCCCCTGATCACTGTGTTTTTCTGCCTGTCTGAGATAYCCTGGGCCAGCAACCTCTGCTCGAAGCTCTACTTCCCTCCTGTGCCTTTTTGCCTGCAGCAGCACTTCCCCTGGAAAGGTCACCAGAGGGAAACCTTTTGACAGCCCACAGTTGTTCGATTGTGAAATACAACAAAAATACAACCAAAACCACGTTGGTCTTCTCAAGGCAATGGAAGCTTCAGGCACAACTTAGACTAAGAAAACTTGGCTTGCCTTAAAATGAAGAAAGATTCAATCAGCTGAGAAAAGACCTTCACTTCCTTTCACATCTGCTCTGGGCAAATCAGATGAGCACACGTGTCTGTCTTTACTGCCAGTGATCTGGGACAAATCTTCATCACAATGCACTGGGCATAGTCTGGATTTGAAGTGAAGTGAAACATGTTTTTGGGACTTAATGAAACTGTTTAGGGTTAAGAAAGTCGGTCACTAATGCAAGGGGTCTGTCCTCAATGCTGGGTTGCTCAGTCAATCTTGCTCAGACCTCCCCTATGAAAAGCTAGACCTTTTTAGGAGGGATGTTCTTTGAGCCTCTCTCTTTCTCTGAGCATCACTCAATACTTGAATTAGTGAGGAGAAAGATTCTGCAGGCTTCTGCCACCAGCCTGAATTCTGGCAACTGCTCTGAAGAATTCATGCACTACATATAAGTAAGGAATGCTCTGTTGTGCTTCTTCGTGTTRGCAAAGAATCCTACTTTTCAATTCAAACAAACAAAAAAAAAGACTACGGAAAAAAAAAGCACGGTTAAAAAATTACTGATGTTTTTAGTTCTAACAGCAGTTCTTCCTTAAACTTTCTCAAAGTAGTGTACAACTTAAGAAATCAACACAAGATTTAATTTCTGCTACTGAGAAAGAACTGAGCCTTGACAGATCTAAGAAACTAAGCCTAGATAGTTCTATGAAACTGAATTCTTTTGGAAGCACTGATRTTGAAGAAATACTAATATGGAGCTTAAAAGTCTTGGTTTTTAATCAGGAATGGTAAGTAGCCAGGCAGGCAGTGCATGTTTTCCCGCAAGGTGTACAAGTAAAATGCTCAGATTGAGAAAGCTGCCTATGGTTTCTGGGGTTTTCTTTGACTTGATTTTATTTTGGGTTTTTTTTGTTTGGTTGTTTTTTTCTTTTCAGTTCTACAAGGAGCATTCAAAAGGTCTTTACAACACCTTTAAAAAGTAAGAATTTTTTATTCTGTGTAAGGAGAGAATCTTTGTCAAATATTTTAGCAGAAGTCAGGAGAAATAACACTAAGTAATTATATTGCTACATGGAGCTTTTAGCATTCATAGCTTATAAAATTGGCTAGTTCACAGGTCATTTGTCTTATTTGCAATGGAAAAAGAATGAGTTACAATTTATCTCAGGTTTTAAACGTACTGCTGTTTTTCACTGCTCATTTCACATGACTGCAAATCAGTCCARATTCAGCATCTCCTKGTTTYCTACAGATGTTCTGGGACACAGAGAGAGTATCTGCCAGATAATAGATATCATTGAAATAAAAGTTGTTAATATTACCTATGCTGATACAGAAAGAAGGAAAGAAATCTAATAAGTATTTCAAWGAAACATTCATTAAACATATCACATTTTGAATGAGCACTCACTGTTCAGACAGTGTATAAACTGATATTATCAGTTGTATAAATTCTATATCATATTGTRACTCAATGCCTAACAGAAGTTCAAACTTCTGATTTATGGAAAAGTAATTTCTTAYTTGAAATGATTAGGATTAATTTTAGAATCAAGTTTTCTAAGGGAGAATTCAGATCACAATAGAAGCAGTACTTACATTATGAAAAAGCCCACGATTTTCCCTATTGAAAAACACAGATTGCAAGAAATGTCAGAGTGCATTGCCTCTAAATTTCACACTTCTGTGAGCAACATCCTCRGACCTGAAAGTCTGCAGCTAAATAGCATTTTCTTTAAAATTTTATTGCTCTAGTGTTCCTTACCCATAAAAGAAGAACAGAACAACCTTTTGAAAACAATGGAAGTTATTTAAACAGAGTACCATCCTCAGTACAGAAACTGTTAACTGTTTCATCACATTCTGTTCCGTTGGCAGGGAGCTCTGTAACCTGCAGCTGCAGCATCTGAAGGAAATCTACCACTCAGCTAAGGGGCTGATCCCATATCTGTGTCAGATAAAAATCATAGTGCTTATTATTTGTTACCATGGATACCATGAAGATATTGCTGTCCACTAAAGATTACTACAGGAAGACAACATAATTCTCAGGWACTAGCCCTGTTTTGCCTTCGTAAGTTGCCTTTAACCAGCCTGGTTCCACTGATGGATACACTGCAAAAAAACATATACATGATTTTTAACACTGTTAGAAAATCCCATACATGCTACATATATTTATTTAGATGGCATTTATTCAAGAGCGACTGAAGAATCAGGAAAAAACCTGAGAGCTAAAAATGGAATTATGCCTCCATTTTGCAGATATGGTTCMGTTTTTACAGGTACTTTTTAAATATGTAAGTCAATGTAAAACATATCTTACCATTGGAAAATATTGCCCCCTGTGGGAAAGACAGCTCATGACTATGCTCAGCCTTACAGGAATACATGGCTTTTGCTTGTCTGAAAGAAAAAAAAATATAGGCTTGCAATAAATGAGATAACAAGGAAAAAGGTATAAAGAATTTAAATTAAAACCCAGGAAGTACAGGAATAAGCAGTTGTATAAATGCAATATGATAACAACTGGTTACACAGCAGTTCAGAGGAGTAGAATTGTAGCAGATAATTTCAAACTTACTGGAGTTAACAGGCATGTTACTGAAGAAAAGAGACTGACATCCCACTTAGATATTTAAACAGGAATATAATTTGTAACTTTTAAAATAAAGGCGTCATTCAAATAAGCACTGAACTGAGCATACTGTTGGAAGGAAGTCATGGATTGCCTGGAGACAAAATTCAAAAGTGTTCATCAAGTCATTAAAGCTCTAAAAACTTGACTTGTCAGAAACTACTGTTAATAGGTCTACAGARGAAAATAGTACTTAGGAGGTTAACGTGAGACAAAAAGAAAATACTCTGTTCCAGAGGAGGTGGATAGAAAAAGTCACCTCTAGCCTTCTAGCACTATGATTCTGCAAGGTACAAAATTATGGTTCGAACATGAAGATGGGAATTAGAAGTTCTCTTTAGATCCCTCTACTTTATCTAATACTTTGACTTAAACTTACACACTCAGAATAATTTTATAAGAGCCATCAATTTTTCTGAATTTCTGTAAACCCACACTATAATAAGTAAGGATAAACTTGCTGACTGTTTCACTTCTGTGAGACGTGATGGGGAGTTGCCAGCTGAGATTGCCTTCTAGTCAGGATTTATYTCAATGACCCAGTGTGTGACCTGTGGTGAAGTTTAACATTTTCTGCATACTTTTTGTGAGTGTGTATGTGTGCAAGTAGCACGTAATCTATCATGTCTTTCTCCCAAAATAGTGAGATAACGGTTGTATTTTATATTATTTAACAGTGCCACATCGTAAGCATTATCACTGTTCATTTGAACATTTATAAGGGGATGAGAGTGGATGGACATATTCTGAAATTTGTATTTCAGAGAGCTTTCCAGAGATGATTTCTTCCTCTTAATAAAAAGCTTTTCTGTTGATTGTCTGATTTATGACTGGACTAAATGGCAAGGTTTGCCTTCATCTTCAGCCAGCTAATGACTCCTCAAGGGTTACATTYTCAGGATGAGATTTTCAGAGGAGATCAGGAATTTTGGGTTGCAGCCGTGATATCCAAGGGCAGCTTATTTTCAGGACTGGAAACATTTCTGATTTTAGTACAGTCATTCTGGTTGCATCCCATTAGCTAACAAGAACAAAATGAGCACTGGATCCCTGTTTGTTCACTTTGCTTAAATGTTATCTTGATATCTGGCTGCTGTAGACTGCTCTGAGTAAAGTTTTTCCAAAACAATTCTTTGGTGCCTCCTGTTGTGAAGAATTTGCCATTTACACTTGATAAGACAGGTGTGAAGACTCATTACTCTATATAATCTAAAAAAAAATTACACATAATCTATAATGTATAGATCTATACTATAATCTACTATAATCTAATAATCTACATAATGTATATACCGAAGGATATTAGATGACTTTACTGAAGGTCACACATAAACTAAAATGATTTMATCACATTTTTCCTCCAAGTCAACAAGGAGCATTGCAGATGTTCCAATCACACTGACCCAAATCAGTAACACTATGACAAAACAGCCATTGCCTGTTGGGATGGGTTGACCGTGGCATGACCCCTTTTTATGCACACCCAATACACCTGTGTGTAGTAATCATGGATTTTACACATATAAAACAGTAGAGTAACTTTTAAAGATTATTGTAGTTGTAATAAACACAAGGTAGTAGGTAATGAATTTACTAAAGCACAGAGATTATTTCAAATCTGAATAATTTATCTATCAAACCAGGTGCCCCTATTAAGAATAAGACACCTGRGTAATACTGTGGTGACAAAAGACAYTTAAAGCAATATTTAAATGTGAGGCAGAATTTCTTAAGTTACGCTTGAAATATGGCATATTATTTTTATTGCCCTTAGAAAAAGTTGAGAAAATCAATCCAATTTTCTCCTATATTCTCTACTGCTAATAAACGATTCTGTTTTCAACCTCCAATTTATTCTCATCCAAGTATGTTTACCTCAAAAGTAAAACAAAGACAAGAAAACATGGACTCTGAGTTAGAATTATAGTATCACAGATATGCTAAGTTTGGAAAAGATCTCTAAAATAATTTCCTATAGAAAGAGAAAGGTTCTCAGCATTTGACATTTGCGCAGATGGAGAAACACAAGCAGTTTCTCAAAAGCTAATGAATTACAGGATTCTTTGCACTATCTTGCTCCTGAGGCAGAGAAATTACACCCCAAAGTTATCTACAAACCATCTGTGATGGTATAACGAGGTACAGATTTAAGAATATTTGCTCATAATTCTGGATAAATTTTCATGCACTGGGTTATTGCTTCCACACTTGATTAGATTATTTAGRTTCTCATATTTGTTATTACTCACTTCAGCCCTATCCATCTGGAAGCACTGATCATGAAATGAGCTTGCAGGCTCTTGGGCATTTTGTTTGTGATTATGAAAATGGACATTCTTACCTATGGTGTTAATGCTTTTCTCCCGAGAAATGAGGCTGTTAAAAAGCATGTGATCAACATCATCCATTATAGCTCTTTTAAGATGATGCTAATAACCTGAGAGGAGTGTGATTCATGTTGTTTAGGGCAGAGGAAAAAAAAAACCAAACCAACTTCAGAAAATGATACCTACATTTCCTASAAGTTCCTTCTTTCCATGACCTTACTGGATAGATTCCAGATGAGAGAAATGCATTTTCCATTTCCTTACTTCCTGTTATGGTTGTTTTGAGCCCATAATGATAAATATACTAKCAATCAAAAGTATCAGTACTCATCAGATCATAAATTCTTTTGCTTGATTACACAGTCAACAATACCTGCAGCTTTAATAATAACAACTATTTTGAAAGATACAAACAAGCTTTAAAAAGATGCTTCTACCCTAATGAGTTTTCAGTTTAGCAAGACAAAGCCAGRAGCTGGAAGAGGAATAAATGAGGGATAACATGAATCTCTCTCTGACTCACCAGTTAATCTTATCCTACAGGAAGAAGAAAACTTTATAGAGCCCTGGAGATTGCACATTCAAAACCAAGTTTGAGTGAAAAACACTGGCCTGTTCTGGGCAAGGCATTCCAGGYACTTTAGGAAATGTAAAATATAACATGAAAATAAATCAGAAGAATGACTGGAAAAGAATATTTAATCATATGCTTGGGAGGGGAGCATGGGTCTAGTGAGCTTCAAAATGCCAGTATGCTTCTATTAAAGTCCCAGCCTGGCACCTAGAGATCCTGCTGAAAGGTAGAGCCTCTTGCTGTCACCTACTCCTTCCCATTTTCCTAATGAAAATTCTTCTTCTAATGCAGCTGCTCACTTCAGGAGACTTGACTTTCTATCTACCTCTAAATCAAAGTCAAGAAAATGTGGAGTCAGGGATTAAGTGTTGGTGCATTTCTGTACAGAAACTRCAACAAAGAGACCTCAGGCCTGACTAAGACTCTTATCTAACTGCAATATTTGCGAAAATAGGAGTAAAACTCCTTCACCTCTTTCAAGTGCATACTAGATTAGCAACAGAGACTGGTCTCAGTGTACACAGTAGCTTAATACCATAGTGAGGGAGACTGATGAATAAAAGCCTCAGGGAACCGAGAAGTCAAAGTAACTCTCTAATCGGGAAGAAGAGAGCACAGGCTGGATATGGCACAACATTTTGGTCTTCCCTGTCCAATCCTACCACATATACTGGCCTCTGGTTATCTTTCTTTCTAAAATACTCCTGTGGTGTTCCAGGAGCATGTACTCATGTATGCAAGGAAAGAAAAGAGGTCAAATAATGCATTAAAAAAGAGAATACACACACTCATTATAAGCCTGCTGCATGATACCAAGTCAGAAAGCAGGGGTGCAAAGACTGCATGGAAGAAGAAATTAAGTCAGACCAGACTACYGTGGCAGTGAAGTATCAAGTGCAGAATTATCTGCTGGAATACAGAAAACAATGTAAAACTGCAGAACCATACAGGTCCTTTTGATCCGCCTGTTGTACAAAAGAACACAACAGGCAACAGGCGCTTCAAGGAGGGATGAAGTTATTTACACTCTATAATGTATAGTTAAGTAGTAGTTTAAAATTTATCTTACCAGGGTAAATTACCCCTGTAGAGAGTCCAACACTGTCTTGACTKCAGTATTTCTGGTATGAAACCAGGCAGCTTAAAAACAGTTTCTCAGTCTTACACTCAAGTCCTGCATATATTCATTGGGTAGCAAAGCTATGAACATAAAAGGACATTCTACTGCATGATCAAGATGTAATCATCATAATGTCTACATACTTCAGAGCCAAATAAAAGGAAAAAAAAACTATCCTAAGGTTTCAAATCAGCTTTCATGTTCATAACATGCAGCTAAATAAAAGCTGGCTCTGAACTGCAAAATCATTCTCAGACTTAAAAGTCGAAACACTGTAAGAACAGCTGAGCTTCCCCTGRCTTCTTCCTCATTTTGCCTGCTAACTTCTCATTTTCCATTCTCCTTGCTACTGTTGCTCTTCTGCCTTCTCATGAAGGCTGAAGTGGAGGAGCTATTCAGCTTTTCAGTCTGTTCGGCTTTGTTATCCACTCTCCACATCCATTATCAAACTGCTACTTTTTCCTTTGTCAGATTTTTGCTTCTTACCTGCTTTTTWTATACAGATACAGGCAGCACAGGCTCTGAAGGAACAACAGGGGAGAGTTTGAAAGAAGTAATACAAAATAAGAAAAAGAACACTGTTGGAGATGAAATGATGCAGGACTGGTGAAGCTGTCATCACTTTCAACTTAGGGCACTGGCTTAAGAGCATCCCAGTCCCTTCATTTATACTTTTCTTCCTTAAATTATTGCCCTGATCTTTTCACAGCCCTTACCTCCCCTGCCACCCTCCTTTTTGGTCATCTTACAGTTCATGCACTACACAGAACAAGAATAGCTTYGATTCCTGAAAGCTGCTTCTCTCACAGAATCAATCAGTGGGCGTTTGCAGGAGAGCTTTTTCTTTCCCTCCCTGCTAGGTCTGCCAGAGGGGACAGCCACATTCTGTGGCCACAAATTTCACCATGWTGGCATCTTCCTTTACATCTGTGCTACTTTAGCCTACTACTTTTGGATTCATGGATTGACATCTTTTTGTCACTGCTCAATAGTTCTGGTAGTTGTGAGTGTATCAGTGAGTAAAGTGGAAGACCTGCATTCTGTCTCAAAGAATTTGGAATGTTGGGACARTGAAAAGAGAGTCAAATGTTTTCCCACATCCATTTCTTTTTCTGCTTTGTCTATTAATTGCAAGGGGGTAGTAATGTATAGAAGATACTGCTTCCTACACAAACACTTACCAGAACATTCTAAATTAATTTCATATAAAAATAAATCAAATCCATCAAAAAAATGCAAACAGTTGTGAAGAAAATGTCAATACTTCCTGCTGTACACTATCAAGAAGAAAGGTCAACAATTTCTTCAGACACCAAGTCATGAAAGGTGTGATGGTAAAGACAAAARTCCCGATCAAGTTAATCTTGAACTTTCTAAAGTAGATGTTATTCCTGACCTGCCTCTATAAGCAAATTATCATAAACCAACAAGTTTGCTACTCTGCTGTAGGCATTCCATACAAACAGCTGTATGGAGAAAGTACAGCACCCTCATTCTAACTGAAATACTGTTAATTTTCTCTTGTAGCTGTGTCCTTAAGCAAACAGCTGAACTGAGCATCTCTCACTATTCCCCCAGTGAAAATAACTAGACTGCCTGTTATGCTCTATTTAATTTAGCCTTCTTTCGAAGGAAGGATGAGCCTAATAAACAAAAGAAAATTCACATACCRCATGATTATGTCCAAAAGACACAGAACAAAACTCCCAACATTTCTATTTCAATCTCTGAAGCCAGAAAAATAGAAAGCATTTTTCAGAATGTTAAACAGTATGTAGCACTTACCGTCCTGAAGAAACTTGTTTAAGTGAACCAGCACTTTCGAACAACTGCGCTCTTGCAGCCACTCTGAAAATAAATGCATCAGCTTGTTTTATACTACATACACTAGTTTCACTTTTAGCCATCTAWAGACATTAGAAGAATCTAAATTCTTCTAAGAAGAATTTCTTATAAAAATGAATTAGATATTTAAAGATTTTTTTTAATTACTCACTCACATCCCTATTCAGTAGTTTTTAAGAGCATGAGCTGATTGGAGCCACTGACTTCCACATGCTCCAGTGCATGCTGAGTCACCAATGGAAACCTCAACATCTTGTGTTTAAAAATACATTCATGGACAGCCAATAGGTATATTGGAAATGCTTTTATTGACAGTCTGTCACTATTATGCTGGGATTCTGAGCAGTGCAGGAGTTTCTGTTTAAGTAAGACACAGGAATCTGTGAAATGCCTAAGTGATCCCTTCCAGATTACAAGRTGGAGAGGCTGAATGACATCCTGCAGTATTTGAAGAGCTTCTTGGTGCTCTGCAGATCTGGAAATAACTTGTTCAAGGGGACAGAGATATTCTGGGTCAAGGTCAGATCAGGAAAGATTTTCTGACTTTTAAGTCTTCTGAAAGCACTGAGAAATATTATTAACCYAAATCTCAACATACGATATCAAAATCTCTATTGCTTAGAACTTTCTTCGTCTGAGTATTAATGAAATAAAACCAAACCCCACCAAACCCCAGCTGTTAGAAATCAACTATTTATCATGCAGCAACTGAAGACATTTCAGACCTGAAGGCTGGTTTGGTTTTCTTTTTCCTTCCTCCAATTTTGGACTTACACAAATAAAATCTCATGATCTTTTTGATGTAACAGCATGGACAGTAAATAGCATTTCTGCTCCTTGGAACATTAAATTCCAGAAGAACCAGAGATAATAATACTAATCATTTTTCAAAGATACATTTCTACCTTGCCTCTAGTCTAATAAAGTCAATGGTAGTCTTTCAACATGTTTAAAGCAGACTTTGTGCCATCTCCAATTTTAACAAAACTAGATAAACAATTAATTACAGAAATATTGAAATCAAGTATTCATGCATGCTGTTCCAACTACTTATGTACCTCTCTGGAATCACTTCATAGCAGAAAATACTGTAACAACACAAATCTCCAACGGGCCTTAATGACTTACACAGATCCTGGTCTTTGATAGCCATTACTTGATGCAGTATCTAATCTTAATCTCCTGCACATTTTGGGAGGCAAATCAGGGTTTGGTGGCGCCTTTAGTGTATCTTTGGTATCTGCTGAAGATAAGCTCTGTATAGATCCACTGCAGGTTTTGCTACCTAAAGAAAAAAACAAATTATAGGGACCATTAAAGCTAATTTGAAATTGTTTCACAACATGTATAACGTGCAAAGCAAAGGTTGTGCTGTTGTTGTTGGGTTTTCTGTCTTTCCTTTTTAGGARTCAAAACAGATAAAGAAATTACTTGCTATGAGCAAGAAGAAATAGGCTTTCAGGCAAAAAGCCAGGAGAAAAGAACAAAAGCAAGAATGAAGAAATGGCATTAAATTTAGAACGTTAAAAAATTACATTGCAACTACATGGTTACATAGTACAATGACTAAAAAGTGACAGTAAAACATTTATAAAGTAGTACTTAGCATAAAACTGAAAAAAWTCACACAGGAAGGGTTCTCAAGAAGTCAACAAATCAAAACAGTGTGCAATCAGACCACAATGTAAGAATCAGCATTTCGATAACCAAAGAATCTTCATGCAGTTTAAAAAACAAACTTAGGAATAAACGACCGTGATTTGCCTAAAACAATTCCCACTGTAACTTGATAAAACAAATCTGTATGTGTACGGACTGTATTGCACACAAAAGAAGTCCTTTTAGTGAGTGTAAGGCATGTCCATATGTGTCCTTCCAGGTGATCTGTGGACTGCTGCCTTGTTTGCATGAATGTTCTGCAAGACAAGAAGTGCATCTGCTTCCCTCCTCATGCCAAAGACCCACCATTGCTTAATGAAAAAGCTGTCATAATGCAGAGATCCCAAAACATAAGAACAATAACTCTGTTATTAGTATTTGTAATCTGTACTATTCTATATCATAATTTATGCATGGATCATAGGATAGAGAGTGATCTAAATTCTGAGAAACACACTTTTTAAGCTGTGTGGACTGTGCAGGTTATAAACAAGGAAAATACGTCAGCAGCAGCTTGAAAATTGAAAGAACATACCACAAAAATTAAGAAAAAAACAACCACCTAACCAACCAAAAAAAACTAATGAGCATTGCTAGCTTTCAGACCCAGTTCTTAATTTTCTAGCGCAGTAGTTAACACTGATGTGATGAAAGACCTTGGAAATTACCTTCAGCTGATGGAATTGATCTAAGGGAAGATGCTGAAGACCTTTTCAGTCCAGACAGACTGTAGGAACTCTTTTTGGTCAGGTCTGTTGGTGGAGAGGCATTCTCTGGTCCAGTGACAGAAGCTACACTTTGGCAGTCTGATTCCACATCTGTTTTGGTTGCATCCTCCTTTGATGAGGATTCTGGACTTGTAGTCCACAGGCCTGAACTTTTCTGGCCATTGGAAGAAGGGGGAGAGGCAATCCATGGAATCCCTCCCGATTTCTCCCTTGGCTGTGAGGGGGTGCACTTGGTGGTGCTGTTCTGCTCCGAGGAGTGAGAAGACARAGATTCAATGCTGCCCATGGGAGTGCTGTCAGGGCTACTGCTGTACGAGTCACCTAGGGAGGAGGCAGGGGAAGGGAAAGAGAGTGAAAAAAATCACCAACGTTTTGTAAAGGTGCATTTCTTTTACACCACCTTTGTACCTTACTCTTTTTTTGTTTACAGCTCAAAGACTCATCTTGCTACTTCACAGAGCACTGGTCCCATGAAAGTTGCAAGACTGGCTGATGCATTTTTTGTCAGATGCATTTTCTATAATTTTCTATCATTCCCTACCATTTGACACCCGTATCTTTTTTCTCACACCATACAGATTTCCTTTATTTCCTGCAATGTAGTTGTGTCCGTGCTTCATTTAGATGATGACTTAAAACCACCTGGTACTTTCAAAATTGCTGTTGCCAGAAGACTTGGCTCCCTCTTGCCTATCTCCAGCCATACCTAGAGATACTTGGTAAGAAGAGTACCTCTGCTTCTACCTCAGCCTTTCAAGGCACAAGTGAGATACTAATTGTAATAATTGGAACTTGTTTACACAAGAGCTCAGTTTCAGCTAATAAGCAAAACTCAAATGGAGAGCTCTTGGAACAGACCAAGTGGCAATCAAACTGCCAYCAAACATAGCATCATAGATGTCATACAATCATTTAGGATGGAAAAGAACTCCAGGATTATCAAATACAACCTTTGACTGAACATCACCATGTCAACTCAACCACAGMACAAAGTACCAYGTCATTTCTTGAACACTTCCAGGGATGGCAACTCCACCACTTCCCTGCTGAAGTCTGTTCCAATGCTTGACAAGGCTTTCAGTGAAGAAATTCTTCCTGATGYCCAACCTGAACTTCCCCTGGCACAGCCTGAAGAAGTGTGAGCTTGCATACACTCTGCCAAATACTCACACAGAAATGTCCCTGTTTTAWACTGGTATCCATTCATTGCAGTTACACAGTGAAAAACACCTGAGACTTGCTCAGTAACTGATTGTTCCTTTGCAACTTCTTACTCAGGATCCTGTGCAGGGAGCTATTGTTATTTATTATTTAAAYTCTCCCTGTCAGGAAACAAGTAACATAGGCCTAAGGAAAAGGCATCACCTCTGCACTGATATACTGAGGATAGATTTCCTGACATTACAGACTTCAGAAGTACTACAGATCCACAAGAACAGATGCACTTTAACTGTGGATTAACTTACTGAACTGTTTCATGTAACACTTTTTGAGGAACTGAGGGACACAGAAGTTCTTTAGGAAGTCTCTTGCAGCAGTGGAACTGTGAACTTAAGCTTTTATAAAGTTTCCATACTCCTTACTAGTACAGCCAGTAAGCAAAAAAGGGGTGGCTAGATGAAAATGAATGAAGTGAAACTTTTTAATTACACCTAGATAAAAATGAGTAAGCATTCYAAGCAGCAATTATAATATGATAGATGTAACTCCTTGCTGTTAAACAGTAAGGCATATGACAAGTATATTGCTTCTCCCAGGAATATTAGAGTTTGTTTCTATTCCAGAAAACCTAACATAGTTTCAGTGGTTTTGGCAGCCCAGGCAGTGGCTGACTTTGAAGCAACAACCACAGTTTCATGCATGTGAAAAAAGCCAAGTGATGGTTTTGATCTCCTATCCTTGACTGGATTACATTTGTTACAAGATGACAGAAAATACTGTATTTTACTGTTTCCCAGCCTTACTAATCATCTTGCAAGCAAATGAGATGAACTTTATATAATGAACTTCTGAGTTTCAAAGCAGACTAAATTAAGATTACAATATAAAGTCTTTTTTAAATTATGTTTAACACTGTTGTTAACAATGTATGCAATGCCAGAGTTGCCTAAAACCAAATATCCTTCCTCAAGTGAGAGAAGTGAGGAATGCAGTCAGTCAAAAGTGCKGCTGTGACTCACAGAGAATAAAAAGCTGATGGTCATGATCACTTGAATACAGTATCTATAGGATATTATCCAGGCAAAGTTAAAAGAGGACAKAAAAAGGATGATAACAATATGCAGTGACAAGCTTACTGTCAGGATCAGCTAGACACGGTGTGTATCTTCCTTTGGGTTTACGTGAACCTGTGGAGAGACAAATTGCTCTTGTTCTTCTTGAACTCGATCTGGACTGAGGCTGGGGAAGAGGAATATTGGGGTCTGGTGCAGTRTGAAATATCTGCATGATTAARAAAAAGGAAAAAAATCACATTAAACAACAATGTAAGAGGTACTCTTACACTTTCATTATTAATCCATTTGTTTTCCTCACCACTTTGCCTGGAATTAACAYTATTACAGTCTCATACATTACAAAACAGTAAAGTCACAGAATATTAGCTTTGCTTTGGTCTCTTTTTACAACTCAAGAACCACAATACTGAGCTGTACTTAATATCTATAATAATTACATTATTGAAAAATATTTATTTTCTAGCTTTTATTAAGAGGAACTTAACAGTTGAAATTGTAAAACAACATGACCCTTCTCCCAGAAGTAATGTATTTTAAAAAATATTATGACCAAGTTGATTTTTATCTCTATGTTCTAGTGAGAGTTTTTATGTATCACAGAAATGTGCCATAATTGTAACTTATTACAATCAAAYTGGCATTTCAGAAAACTTAATTTGGCCAAATAAATCAAGTTTAATGAGGAACAACTTTATGTTTAAGGCATCTCCTGGTTCYTATCTGTTACATATCACTGCAACCACTGGTCAATTTTGCACTTCATCGCTGCAGAAAAAAACTCAGTTTTTTACCATGATGTGCCAGAAGACATCTCTGAAAGGATTTCTGGGCCCTCTAGCAACAGGACATTCCCAGAAGAAGTGAAGAATGAAAAGACACCTTTGTGCCATTCATAAAAGTGGAAGAAAGCAAATATACTTCCACAGTAGGAAATACTTTGGTGGACATCTTGAGATGCTCTTGGACTACATTAGAACTGTATTAAGCACTAGTGAGTAGCACATCAATACAAAAACACATCTGTAGACAGAGAAACAGAGCAGTCATAGTCATTGTGCTGAATGAGCTCTAATTTTCTGGAGGGGAAATTCAGGGTTGGAAAAATGCAATATATGTATTTTGGAATCGAAGCCAAGAAGGCTATCAGGATCACAGCTATTTGGAGAAGTCCCTGTGAAATAAAACKGGTGATTACCAARMTGTACTGTCAGCACTTACTGACCARCCAGTGCAGGGATCCTGGTTTTGACTGGGAACTGCCCCGTAGCTGAGTAATGTGTAATGAAAGAAACTCAAAACTTTTTCACTTTGTTTTGTCAGTCATCAGAGGAGACGACATATCTCAGCTAGATCCCCAAGATAAAATTGCTTTTGACTAACAAGTAAAAGGAGGCCTTGAGTATTCCGTCAARTTATGAAATCAAATAGTTGAAAACTAAAACAAAACATCTGAAGAGGCCTTTCAGTGAAGCTAATACCAGCAATGGTAGTGACTGAAGTGTTTAGGATTTCCTTCTCCCTTCTAGTGACTAGGTCCCCACTGTGCAGCTGACATGTCCCCTAAGGACAGCAATGGTCAGAAACACTCTGACCTGATGCACTCGGAGAGAAACTTCATACAATGGTAGCAAGAAAGAGTTGGAGCAGCCAGGAACGAACTTAAGGCCTTCTTTTTCTRTTTCTAGATTCAGGAAGCAATTTTCAGAAAGCAACTGAAGATTCAAAGCATTGGAAGTACTGTACTTTGCACAGCCACGAATGACATGCTAGGAATACAGAGGCATAGCATGGAATGGGAAGAAGGTACTATTTCTATTAATAATCTTCTACAAATTTTGGACTTTCTATTCTTAAGAAGTTAATGATGGTAATGAAAATGAGATCTTAGTTCCACTTTATAACAAAACAGGTAATTTCTTTCTACCTTCTCATAATGCTCTATCAGGATTTCAACGACRATATTCTGAAACTTAATGTTCATCATAGCAGCGACAGTTTCTTCTTGTGCTCTCATCAGAGTTGGTCCAAAGATAACACCRAGGTTGGATACAGTCATTAGATTTTGCTGACTGTGCAATGATACCCTTTAAATGAACACAAACAGTATGCAATTTAATTGCTGTGCTAAACCACAATTTCAACAGGCAAAAGCTTGCTAAGACTACTACTTATATAAGATCCCAAGTTCATGCCTCCCTTTTAAATACATTTTAAAAATTGTCACCCTTAAATACTTTCAACTGGCTTGATGGAAAATGCTGTGTGGTAACAGAGGTCAACCATAAACCTTAGTTTTCATGTAAAAGTTAAGTTTAGTTACTTTAGTTACTGAAAGTACTTAATTTACAACGATCTCTTTACCAGTATGATGAAAACACAGGATCAATGGATTCAGTGAAATTATTGTGGCTGTGCAATATATAACATTAAATGATCAAAATGACATCTGGCTTTGAAACAGATTAAMCTTTTACTTCTGTATATTCTGTTTTCACTTACTTTACCTTTTCTGTTTTTTTGTTTTTCTTTTTAATGTAGAATTAAAAAACTTGGTTTTCCCAATAATTTATCAGACAGTTAAATGAAAATCATCAATCAGTAATGCTCAATGCCACTTTTCTCTCCTTGCTATGATTTTACAAATAAAAACTGTGTCATCATAGATCCACCCTTTGAAACAACTGCCAGTGATTCCCCAGTCACAGGTRTCCTATTGCCTCATGTCTGACGAATATTATGCCAAGTGAAAGTCTTAYAATCACCTTAATGCCTAACTTTATTGAATCTCTTACAAATAGAACTTATTAATGAGACACTGGCTCACACCTTCCTCTTCCTTCTTCCTGCTATCTGCTACCATGGTCAAACTGAGCATTTTTAGCCATTTCCTACAGAATCAAAATAACCCTTGCACCTTTAAAAATTAGGAAATAATAAAACCTATAAAATATTCCCCTCATATTTGGGACAGGAAGGTTTTAGCACCACATTTACATCAAGAAACAGGATAAATATGGGAAAGGGTTTTGTATAGGAAATAGCATGATTATAAACAGCAAGAAAACAAATACCAATTTTCTTACATGTTTCTTATATTGTGTCAATAAATTATCTCAAAAATTTCCAAAATATTGCTTCAGACCCAATGGCAGAGATCATCATTTGGAAGCCATATCATGAAAATGACTCCTTGGTTAAAGCGTATTTTTAGCTTAATCTAACTTTCTCTGAAACMGATGTTTATCTTAGATGACTAAGGGTCTTTTGGGAATACCACCAATATTTTGATGAAACTGGAATGTTGAATAACTCAGCTCTATATATGCTAAAAAAATGTAAAAAMCCCCTCCCTTTGCAATGTTACTCTGCTTTGTGCTGCACAGTAACCCCAGAGTTTTGCTACACAAACATTATAATCTTATAGCATAAGAGAGAAGGTAGTGTGTGTCTGCTGTTTGGGTTTCCTTGGTAACAAATTTGGTAGCTTGGGTAATAGAAGAAATGGTGAATTTAATAACACTGCAACCAGAAAGGACTTTGTATGAAGCATTTCAAAGGCTCGGTTACTTGCAAAACAGAAAGAACCCAGGGCTGTAAATGGATCATTTTGATAGCTACTTTCCCCTGATCTAGTCCGACCAGTGCTGAGCTACAGCACAGACACAAGATGAGGTAAYCATGTATTTCAGGTAGCTGTCGGGCATTCCTTGAGGTGCCAYTGCTTTCTCCTCAGAATCTCTTTCTTTGAAGTATCATCAGCAAATCTGCGATACTGCCAAACTGCAGACTCCCACCTCTCTACCACAGCAAAGTATTGTGCTGTTAAATCATAGACATAATTGGTTAGGTAGGTTTAAAAATCAAAAAAATGAGTTACCCATGTGAAAGTAACACCAAACTTGGCATGTTTGCCTAGCTACTGTCCATGTATCCATGCAGTATCACCTCTCTCCAGGATGCTTTTCAAGATTTGCCAGTTTTGTTTGTTTGTTTTTAGCATGATCTACATCCCACATCATCTAGATCCTATTTAAATTTGTACAGTAATATAAAAATCAAACTAGACAGAGTTGTAAAGACCTTATGACCCAGAGCTAGAGTATTTTTACTTTGATGCAAAAGCATTCAGGAAGGAACTGAACAGCTAAAAGAAATACAGGGAAGGAACATGCTCTTTGAAACTGGATTTTCAACAAAACAATGAAGAAAACAGGAGGTTGGATTTTTTTCCCCAAGTTTTCCCATTTTCATAAAATTAGGCACATTACCTGTCATTTATTTGTTCCTTGAAATATCTCCACACAATGGTAGGAAAAAGATGAGGCAGGAAAATAGCTAATACACTCAAGTGACTAAGTTTTAAATTCACTCTCATTAGAATTGCTAGCATAAACAACAGCTGGCAAATTATATGAGAAATTAGAAGGGGTTGAATATTATAAAGAAAAGTACTGAAAGCCTTCAGTGTAAAACTAAGATTACATTGATATGAAATGAGAATCACTACAAACATGAGAAAAGCAAGAATTAAAGAGATTAATTAAGGAAAGGAATACTACAGGTATGCTTTTCTTTGGAATTGCACCTGAGATCACACTGAGAATAAAGAGGCCAGGAAAATAGGTCAAGAAAATATTACTTTCCCAACAGTAATTGTCAACAAGTAAGTCAGYTCCCATGCATATGACTCTCTAATTTTGGGGCTTCCACCGAGCAGCTTCTATAAAATTGTTCATCCTTCATTAAATGCTTTCACTTTTTTGAGGGTCACAAAGAAATAGGTATTGTATTTTTTAGCTAATTAAACAATTATGTGAGAAACTTAGGAAACTTTTTTTGTCTGGTTCTCTGCATCAGCCCAAGTGTAACAAGAGGCAAGGTCTGCCCAGTCAGGTTTTGCAATGAAAGCATTTACATCAGCTTGCTATAATGTTAGTTCTCCAGGGGCTAATGAAATAGAGGGCAAAAAAATTTTTKGGGGCTAAATGACTCCCTGTCAAAGAAATTTTCAAAGTTCTCATTTCTATAACAGGAAGCAAAATTGCGTTGGGATCCACTGTAGACAGATAACTGCAGCCTGTACCTCAAGCTGTAATCAAAAAAGCAAAACAGCTGGGACATAGTGAATTGAATGAAAACACATGGAGTCCTCTCACGTCTTCTACATATCTTAGTCATGTGAGCCTTATCTGAAAAACTACTGCTTCACTATTCCCAGATGACCGATAAATGTATACTAAATATACTAAAATATACAAAGAAATGTATCAGTGAGAATAATACATATTAAAAAGTATTCAGAAAATACCAGTGAAAACTAAYCAAAGATGTACAGAAACTTATACAAATTACATTTGATGCAGAAACAGGATAAAATGCAATCATAGTATGTAATCACAACTAGTGATACAGAGAGCCATAATAGAATAACAATGTGTCTTTTTTATCTCACAGCACATGCCAAGTGTAATTCTGTGAAGAAAAAATGTCACCAATTTAAAGAAATGCAAAATCTTTTTCACCTGACAATTAAAAATCAAGGGAGTATTAAGAGAGATTTAAAAGTTGGACATCTATGTAGATATCAAAAACACAAATAATAATACTTCAAATTAGAGCTTTCAAGTGGTGAAACACTTGTAACTTCTYAGAGAGAGAAATAAGATCATGAAGAACAAATATTATCACACAATCTATCTCATTCTATCTCATTTCTAATCTGTCTCATTCCTGAAACAGTTTGGGACTTCAAGACAGATTCAAACCAGCGTTTTCCATCAACCCTGGCACAGTTTTACATGTTTCTTGGATTTAATTGGTTACAAGCCCTGTAGTAAGTAAGGACATGAATGAAAACATTGACTAGCTTTATTTTRTAAACATAGTTGGCCATCTTGGTGACACTTTATGATGTTTTAATTCTGTTTTTTCAGAGAGTATTATTCCAGTATTTAGAACAATGTTTTAGAACACAAATGTAATTTCAAGAGGCACTGTTTCAACACACAGAATGGATTAAATGATAACATCTTACAATAATACCAAAGAGAAAAATAAAAAATAATTACTTGACCAAGTGCTTAATAAGGATGTCCAGCATCTCTCTGTTCTTCTCTGGTAATTTATGCACAAGCGCATGCACTGCCTCAACTCTGTAGTTCTGATCATCTGACTCTGTTAAATAGAAAACAAATTGTTGATAAATCAGAACATGTGCTACAAAGTGACTAAAAATGACATCAGTGCCTGTATGCTAACACAAACATGCATTAAGAGGAGCCAAACAAAATGAGCTTTAAAATGATGAGGAAAATGTGATTATATTTATTGCACTGTGAAATCGGTATTTCAAGTAACTCACCTAAAGCAATTACTGTCAATACTGGAGCCAACAAATTAATGGCAATATTGACCTGATGTGGCACTTCAGTGAAGTCTAAGATTTAATCTAAGAAATATAGATTAAAATAGCTAAAATTATTTAGCGTCTTTTATTCTTATCAAGATGAGAAAATGAAGAAATATCTTCAAATTCTAAACTGAAGTCATTAGAAAAACAATCTCTGCTATCTTTGTATTCAACTACCACATTTGTGAAAAGGAGCTCCTCTTTGCCCTTTCTGATTTCTCAAGGCAAGCTAAGAAAATAAAGGTTCCTGGCTGAGAGGGATGAATGTTACAAAATAATTTTCAGACTATATAAAACAAACAAACAAATAAACAAGAATCTAAATTAGGGTTCAAAACTTCATGCAGAAGGCAGTCACACAGAACCACTAAAAAATCAGAACAAACCAATGAACAGCTTCATCTAGTGTGATTTCTCTGTTTTGAGGACCGGACCAATGCATATTAGAGCAAGGAGAAAAGTAGAGAGAGTGACTGAGGAGRCAGAGGTTAGAAACAATAATACTTTCATGAAAGTGTACTTATCATTTTACTTTTTACTTACTAACAGCAACAATGAAATCTTTGTGCAGCTTGAAAGTCATCAGTGGTTCTGAAAGACACCTGGTTTTAAAAAAAAATTAAAATTGTATTTAAAATGGACTCAAAATCTTTTTAAGTTTTATGAGTGTGATTATGATAGCCCTCAACATCTACTGGTCCTAGGAAATCTAATTCAGTGATGACTTACTACACATAGTATACAACAGTTATATATATATGGTCTGAAAATCAGTTTGATTTGAATCTGGTATCACTATGTAAGTTAATAAGAAAAATGTTATTTCAGCACAGAGCCTCAATGGTTCCTGTCTTCTATATTGAAGGGCAGGAATAAATACAGCTGCAGGCACRGTATAGCGGGCTGCAAAAGGAATCTTTTACCCAAGAAAGGCAAAAACATGATGAAATTTGGGACTGAAATTCTCATCTGAGAGATCTTAAAAGTCATCCTTTGAATGGCAGACCATGAGTTGACTTACAGACACAAACACACAGCCACTGCTTGCTAGCTCAAGTCCTAATTTCAGAAACACAGTAGCTACAACGACTTGTGTTTCTGAAGATGTATTATAAATTTCTTCAATCAAAGCCTTTTCATTGAAAAGGCTATAAATCCTAAGCCTATTTTCCAGAGTAAATAGGTATTCTGATGCTGCTCTTTGGTAGTAACAGGTTCAGGAAATCTAGATATTTAGAAGGCATAGAACACAAATAATATGAATTGGATACTTTTTATTATGTATCTTTTGAAGATTATATATTGATTTGAATATTATATATTGAGATCTGAAAGGGTTATCTCAGAAGTACCGTAATTTTTGRCTATTCTGTCTTTTATCAGCAAAAATGACAGGAAGGATATTTTATTTGTGAAGATATTAAGAGCATAAGATAAAAACCCATGCTTTTTCTGGGATTTTCAACCACAGTGTCACAGAGCCTTATGGTACACAACTTCAGGGATTCACAGAAAAGACTGARCACAACATGCTTTCTGGTTAACATAAAAAAATTTAAACAAAAACATGCAATTAATTGAATTTAGGGCTATATTAGGCAGGATTACCTTAAAAAGGTAGAWGGTGTGTATTATTATACATAATCACAGGAATATTAACCAGGATAATAAAATACTCAATTATTACCATAGCAATGGATACAAGAAATGTAATATGATATTAACAAGCAAAAGATTAATGGGCCAGAAAAGGAATAYGGAGACTGTGTGGGATTGTACTTACCTGAGGTAGTTTTTTAGTCCACTTGTTATTGTTTTATTGTCCCAAAGTTCCATATCAATATCCATATCAGGAGGAGATTTAGGAGCTAGTAGAAATTTGAGTTATGATTTTGTTACAGKTTGACTAATTCATTAACTAGAAAAGCAGCAAAACAGAAGCTACTAGATCAGCCCGATTTAGCTCTATTTATTAATGAGCTAGATTAACCACCAGTCGAATAAATTTAAAGACTTTAATCTCTGCCAAAGTATTATTAAAAATAAATTTAGTGCTCATAGTTAGTAACTGTAAACATTAACTTTATGCATTGTACCAAAGTGTTAAGTAAGTCCAAGTTCATTGGGAATTACTAATTCGTCTTAGACATGCAAATACAAATGCAAGCATCAGAAAGCTCAATTAACAAGAAAAGTGAAAGATTGGAACAAGTATCTTAAACTGAGCTGTGATGTGTTATGGAACTAAGCTTTGGAGAACTTCTGGAACAAGCAAATATATATCAATAAATGGAACTTTAAAGCTAGGGGAAGAATACCATTTTTATTAGTAATTTGCTCATGTGCAACATGCAGAAGTGAATACTAAAGCACACACAACAAACTAGAAATGAATCACTAGTTTTAAGAGTGCAAACTCAATTTAGTGGCACTAAGTGCACATACAAAACTTGGAATATTATGACACTCATCTAAGAAAAGCAGTTAAGGCAACAGGGATTACAGCATGCATGCTGCACACYRACAAAAGTTCAGATACTCACAAAAYACGGTATTCATCAACTTTTGCACCTTGGAATTTACACCACCTATTCTGTACAGCCCCAGGACTGTAATACCTATATTAGGAAAACAAGCACATGCCAATAATGAAAATATGGTTATTTTAATATATGCTGATGCATGCTTGGTGCATGTTTTCAAAACATCTAAATGTATTTAGGGAAAACTGTACCATTACATTCTTAAGTACTGCTTTACCCTTCTCTTGCAGGGTATTAACAAATTAATCCCACTGAGTCCATACCATACTATACACCAAGAATAATTTTACATTAACATCTGCATAGAGATGACCCATATTAGCAAACAACAAGGTGATGGCTAGAAAAAGTAAAAAATATTAGACCCCAAAGCAGTCTTACAACACGTTACACCATCTTATATTGCCTCCATGTCAGTGGAATTACTATGCATCTATGTTTRCTTAGATCATCATCCCTTTCAAATAAGATGTGACTGACATTTATATGAAAATAAAAATATATACTATTTACTGTTGTAACACATCAGTTGAGAATTTATGTTGCTAATTAAAATTGCCAGGCCTTTTTTTGTAGCACAGATAATGATAAGAAATATGTTTAAGAAATGTAGAAATAAATTAAGAAATGTTTAAAGAGTGACATTCAGAATACAGTATTTGATTATTTTAGTGATGATTATTTCATTATTTTTAATTGCCTTTTAAAATTAGGATTTAAATGTCCTCCATTATCCCCACTTCAAGCCTTACCATTCAAAAATTGTCTACTTTTCCTTTGCAAATAACATTTCTAAATCTGATCTCACTTAGGTGTTTTGTTTTGAAACCCTCTTTTACCCCCCCTGCCCCAGAAAATAATGCAAGCTCTGAGTCAGCAGTGATTCAACAATGAGCCAGATTCAACACTGTTGGCTGAGAAACTCAATTCATGTTGAGCYCAAAATTGCACAGACAGACCACATTTGGATTAGAAGAGTTCTGAACACTGACAGTCCCAGAAAAGTCTATCATCTCATTTTATGGGACATGGTACAGACATAACTCTCCATTCAAAAATTACTGTGAGTTGTAAGGTATCACCTCATCAGCAGAGTGATTATTACTTCTTTTTTTTACACTCCCACTACCAAAAATGAGTGTTGCTAATCATTTAAATGCTGCCAAACTTAAAAAAAAAAAAAACATAAATAATGTACAACATGAGTGAATAAAACGACAGGAGTTATTTTCTGCAAAAAAAACCCAGATGTACCAGCAGAGAATGTTGATGCCATTTTTGGGTCTTCAGATTTCACACCTGAAACCAAAGTTGGGAGCTGAGACTCCCTACAGTGGAATCACAAGGAAAGACAAGTCAGTGCACACAAATTAAAGACAAAGGATGTGTGCAACTGTGTATTAAGCTGTCTAATCAACAAAAAATTGGAGGTTTAAAATTAAAAACCTCATTTAAACGATATGTTAAGAACTGTCATTGGAACTTGTGACAACGATTTTGAGTGTAAAGACTAAATAAAAGTGTAAAACCTAAATAAAATGTGAAAAGTCCAAACAAAATGATGGACACACTTCAAAGCACAAATGTAAAACAYAGAATTTAAAATAGTCATATTTCAGAAAAAAAATCATAAAGATCTACTACCTAATTTGTGATTTAATACACACCTCTTGTTTCTACAGCATGAATACATTTCCTCACGAAGTTGAAACCTGCTTCATTTAAGAACACTATAAAAAAAAGGTTAATTACTTTCTAACATCAATATAATAAATCTAACATCAATGCAATAAATCTTCTGTCTAGCTACATTCACACACTAGTCAARGAAGGCTGATACATGTTTATCCATAATATTATGATACTTGTTGTGTAATAAGGTCTTTGTAGATATATCCTTAAYATTCACAACCCAACTTTCTAGTCATTCTGAACCATTAAAGCTGAATATTCTATTGTCTTTTTCAGTAGCCCCTCTAAACATACAGTTGAAAGCTGATAAGCAGAATGCTTTTAAGCATAGAGCACCTACATTATGACCAGAATACACTCACTGGTTTTAATACAACAACATTCTTTTGCTCCTCACAKATGCACATAATCACTCATAAAATGGTAACGTAGGAAAATAATCCTTGTTATTGATTTTAATCAGTCATATTTCAAGTGAATGCATTTCTCATTAATGTTGCCTATTCAATGCCCACTGCTTCAACTACTTAAATAAAGATCTTAAAATGGCATATTTGTCACCATTAAAATAAACATCACCATATAAAAGCACAGGTWTAATGGCTTAAATTTCAGATTTTCAGAGTCTCAAATACACCTCTTATGAAGATGCATGTCCAAATTTGACAAATCTCTCTCTGATAAACATAAACCCACAYATATATTTAAATTATTTTTACATAYTTGTACAAATATGTTAATAAACAGTATGTTAATATAATGCTATTACAATTATGCACAAAAATCTCATCACTCTTTAAACATACTAGTTTGCTTACTCAGTGTATGTCTAATAGGTGCATATAAGCCTAAAACTAAAAAGTGTGATGGACCAAGGCCAGTTACATGGTTCAACAAAGCCAAATGCTGGGTCCTGGAATTGGGTCACAAGAAGCCCAGGCAGTGCCACAGGCTGGGGCAGTGGCTGGGGATTTGCCTGCTGGAAAACGACCAGRGTGTGCTCTTTGACAGCAGATGAACACTGAACAGCAGTGTGCCCAAGTGGCCAAGAAGGCCAGTGACATCCTGGCCAGGGTCAGCCATGGTGTGGCCAGCAGGACCAGGGCAGGGACCGTCCCCCTGTACTCAGCACTGGAGAGGCCACACCTCGAATCCTGTGTTCAGTTCTGGGCCCCTCAGTGCTGGAAAGACATTGAGGGGCTGGAGCGTGTCCAGAGAAGGGCAACAGAGCTGGGGAAGGGTCTGGAGCACAAGTGCTGTGAGGAGCAGCTGAGGGAGCTGGGGGTGTTTGACCTGGAGGAAAGGAGGCTCAGGGGGGACCTTGTGACTCTACAACAACTGAAAGGAGGGTGCAGCCAGGTGGGGTCGGTCTCTTCTCTCAGGTAACGAGTGACAGGAGAGAACATGACCTCAAGCTGTTCTAGAGCAAGTTCAGGTTGTGTATCAGGAAGAATTTCTTCATTGAAAGGCTGGTTAAGCATTGGAAGGGGCTGCTCAGGGAAGTGATGGAGTCACCATCCCTGGAAGTGTTCAAGAAATGACTGTACTTAAATTCTACGCTTTAGTTGACAAGGTGGAGATCAGTCAGACCTTGAATTCAGTGATCTTGGAGGTCTTTCCAACCTAAATGATTCTGATTCTATGAACACTGATCAAAATATCTGATTTCTGCCTTCCCTGCCGAAGGGGGCTCAGCTGTTTCTCTCAAGTAACAAGCAATAGAACAAGAGGAAAAGGCCTCCAGTTGTGCCAGGGAAAGTTTCGATATCCAACAACGTTATTTCACAGCAACAGAAATAAAATATAAAATAATATCTTTCTCCCACACATGTATCAAGCAACTGTAACTTTAGAGAAATCTAGCAATAGATGGTAACTCARCACAAATAGCTTACTTTCTTCTTTCTTGCTAATAATGGCTGGCAGTGTGTAGATCTGTAAAAGAAAAAAAAAAAAACAACAACTAAACAGCAACAATGCAACCAGACAACGTTTGTGCTTTAAATCCTTTATTGCCAGGTTTTTTAGTGGCTGCAACATGCCATGTACTAGACTACTGTTAGGGAAATTCCAGCCTTGCCTTTCACCATCTCTTGAAGTTTACTGCTCCAGTATGCATCTGGGTTAGCAGCTCTGTGCTATCATAATGCAACTCATGCATGAGAATCAGATTTACTGAGTCCAAGTGGGTTAAATTTCAAAACAAGTAGTGATTACAATTTCTTTACTGGTTCAGTCAAGCAAGAAGCATATAAAAACACTATCTAGTTCATAAAACTCATCAACCATACTTTAACTATTACTACTTAAAATATCCTAACATAAAACAATGATATATAAATGTAGGCTTCAATTAATAGATCTGCTTTTCTACTTTGTATTTATCTTCACTATGTACTTAACGTCTCACAAAGAAAAGAACTGTATTTGTTGGTTTTGCAACAGTGTATTTGAAATATATACTAGGTTCTTTTTTTAATAATCGAGMCAGAAAACTGTAAAATRAAARGAAAATTAAAAAATATMCTTACTGGTTCCTTTCCATCCATAGCTTCSAGCCAAAGTTTTCGGTTGGATTCTGAAAAAGCTTGCAGTGTGATTATTCCAGGTCTGTCAAAACCACACACATTCAGTTAAGTTACTATTTTTCTCAAACAGTATCCAAAGTCAGAATCCCAATACACACTGACATGAATATATAAAAGACAGAAGATAGAGAAAGTTGACAGCATCTGACATAACAGAATAATTTTGAGCTAGATATAAAACATGCCTGTTTTTAAAAAGTTTGCTAACAATCACAAAACATAAAATATTTTTAACATAATAACTACAAAAGTCAGTCTATTTGTCATATTTTAGCAGAAAAATTAACTCAATATTTGTGTTTATTCCCAAGCTTGGAAAAAATAGTTCTACAAATTACTGTGCACCTATACCTTAAATACAGGAAAGCTGCTCTCATCTATGCGATATAACACACAGGAGTAGAAAAAAATTATATAGATGTAATTTTCAAGAAAAAAAAGTGCCACCACACTTTTGTGAAAGTAATAATGCTTTGCAGAGAATACACTTATTAACAAATATTTATAAAAAATATTTATGATCTGTTTCTAGAAGAGAGTAATCCGTTTTCCTACAGTTCCATGAATCCATGTTGTATGTAAACATAACGTAATAAAGACAACACATAGGCTGTGCAGTGAATTTAATTAATAAACCAAGTCTGAACAAAGAAGTATTAAGTCTTGAAAGCCTAGTTAGTCTGTAAACAAATATCCTGATAAACACATGCTTTTATTACAGGAGTAATTACTATACATCGATCGCAATTATTTTCAAATTGTTAACACAACAAAAACAAACCTCTCAAATACTTCGATATCGAAACAGAAGCGTTTGTCAATTGAATCTGTCTTTCTCCTGATGCAAGATTTTAGCTTGAACATTTCTGGTGAGCTTGTGACAAGGCCATTCTACAAAACAAAACAAAACAAAATTAGCATGTAATAGCAGTACACTTACACACCTTGGCTTCATCTTAAAAATAACTGCATGAACAGTCCAAAGAACATGTCTTAACACAGGGATTAAAATTATTTAGAAACTTATGCAATATTTTTTTGTATATTACGTAGGACTACAGTTAATGGCTTCCTATCATATATTTGTTATTTAAGCATTGGAATAAGTTGCTCAGGGAGGTGGTGGAGTCACTGTCTCTGTAATTATACAAGAGAAGCCTGATGTGGCACTTGGGGATATAATTTAGGGGTGATTATGGTGATGCCATATTGAGAGTTGTACTAGATGACCTTGGAAAGTCTCCTCCAAGCTTGATGATCCTGTGATCTGACATATGAGAAGCTGAGTGAGCAGGGACTGTTTGGCCTGGAGAAAARGGATCATTATCAGTGACTGATCTACAAATACCTCATGGAAAGAACAGAGAAGACTGAGTCCGATTCTTCTCAGTGGCTCCCAGGGGAAGRGCAAGAAGCAATGGGCACAAACACAAATAAAAGTAATTCCATTTGAACTTAAGAAAAGACTTTTTAATAGTGGTCAAACACTGGAACAGGATGCTCATAGATGGCTCCATTCTTGGAGATATCTAAAACCTGACCAAACACAGACCTCACCAACCTGTTCTGGTTGACCCTACACTGAGTGAACTCCAGAGGCCCCTTCCAAACCTCATCCATTTTATGATTCTGTGCAAATGTGATAAATTTCCTATGTATTTACAACAACCACATCAGAGAAGTTATTTAATATGTGGTTTTTAAAGGAAATATTACTAAAATATTTATCCATGCTATGTGATATGTCCATACCTTCATCTATGAAAACAGCTTTCTTACAGCAGTTCTTAAATGCTTATATAAAAGATGGAATATAGAGCTCATGTAAGTGTTTATGTACATGCAACTCACCACTTTTCCACCAGATTTTGTTTCAGCTATACTCATTGTAAAAGTTTTTGTTCCTTTGTCGTAAGTGCAGTAATGTTTTACCCATGTAAATCCAAGCGGTCCTAGAGTAAAGAGAAATAGTATTAAAAATAATTGTCATTTTATTACTATTACARTTGAAATTAGAAAGAGTAGAAAAATGATACATAGCAGCATCATTCACATATAACCTACTTCTAATTTTTTTAGTCTGAACATTTTTTAGTTGCTCAGGTATAATTTTMAAATATTGCATCTTGATAAGGTTGCCCAACAAAGTTCCAGCAGACTGACTTTGTTTGGCAACTAGATGGGTAAYAGCATTTTATTATGGTAAACAGGCAGGAAACAGGCCAGGACAGAATGTAAGGATTTTTCTGCCTAGAAAATACAGTTGTTATTTTATCAACCCAAAGGAAAGACAATTCAGTTTTATTTTAATATTAAAYCCTTACTCTCAGGGAAACCTTGAAGTCTGGCATTAAATTCAGAAAACAGGACAAAGTCACAAAATCAGGGTGCAGTACCCTTGCCTTTCAGAGTTCTTGTCAGAGGTAACAAATGCTTTTGGTAGTATCATAGGAAAAGCTACTCTTCTACCTGTTACTTTAACAGAGTGAGTAAAATGGCACCTGCTCAGAGAGAAATTTAATCTTACATAGTTGAACTCTGACAGGAGATTTCTTTATATGAAAGAAAGCAGAGGAACTGTGCACTCTAAAACAGATTAGCTTAGARATGAGGGATAAAATGTTGGGTGGCAGAGGCAGTGCCTTCAGAAAGAAACACTGGTCTTTATGCCTTGGAGGGGTCAAAATGAAAGAGCACTGACTTAAAAATAAGTATTTTAAAGGGGTTTGTGTTTGGGTTTTTTTAAAAAAAGGCAAGAATTAAATAAAAAGTGTTAAAAACAAACCTATATATAGTTTTAYTATAAATACACTGCCTTTGCCTTCTCAGTGTACCCAAATGTGGTGGTTATATGAGAGACTGAATCAGTCATGTAAGTTGGATGTCTGGCAATCCAGAAATGCAGCTGTGGAAATGCAGCTCTCCTATTGCATGTGTTTTGGAAGAAAGTAAAAAGTCATGAATTGAAAAGTAAACTGGYTATATAGCCTCAGAAGTTAGCTGTTCTGTTCCTATATTTTAAGTTATTATCACTAAGCATAAYAAAATCTGTAATTATTCTGAATCAAATTTTCCTCTGATGGCAATTCATTATCTCTTTTAGCATATTATAAGGAGGATGAGCACTCTCAAAGCTTTAGATAAGTCAGGAAGTCACCCTTTCTTCATTAAAAAATTGTAGCCAGACTCCTGTSTTGTAACTTAAAGCTTGTCACTCTTGGCCATCCATTTGAAAGAAAACGATGAAAGGCCTAGTGCCATTAAAAAAAAAAATCTATATTCACCACCATGCATGTCAGGAATAAAYATATGTAGAATTTGCTCTGAAGAATAGCGAACATTTAACCCAGTTTCTCACAATTAGACAAGAACCCATAGGATAACAGCTGTGGGCAAGGAAACTTGACAAGGAGTTATACAACTAGTACCTCTYCCACTACACAATGATTACAGACCCCGTTACTGTTACTCCAGAATAAAAATTTCTTTTCAGAAGGAGAATGTCAAGTTGGCCTCTCACTATTTAATGAAGCACAGCATGTGCCCGGTGCTTCACTCCTTTTCTCCYTCCCCCATTAACAGGGCTCAGTGTAATTTCCACTTAACACAGATTTATTTTATTATTATTACTTAATTACAAAATAGATGTCTTCTTAAAACTTGCAGCGTTACTGAGGATAAATCTGGCTGTGGTTAAGTGTGGTACGACCATACTTAGATGACTTTTTCTTGTATCTTTGATTTCCATTAAGCACATGTTCATTTAAGGTGGCTGGGTCAGTGGAGGTCTCTGGTACAGGGTGCTCCTAATGGTTGAACTACAGGCCCTGTTCTGGCTGGAAAAGCACAGGAAGCAGGAGAGAGCCAAAGCAGAGTGCTGGGAGTTTGCAGCAAGGTGTAGGGCAGCTGGGCAGAGCAGAGCTTGCTAGCAGTCAGCCCCTGGGGCAAATAACTGAGGGACCTTCCCTGCTGTACTTACGTTTCTCCTGCACATAAAGATAGCCTTCCATTGTCCACTGACTCGGTGGTCTGTAATCTTGGTTGGCTGATTTCATTCTTTGCATGAGTCTCTCCACTTCCTGCCTCGTGCTTTCAAAGTTATTCCGAGTCTAATACAMAGAAAAGGAAACAAACAAAACCCCATGTTAGCTCATGCAAGTACTAACACAACAATGAACAACTAATTACTAATCAAGGAGACTGTATTGGAGACCAGCAAAAGCATTTGCCAGAGACATATAATAGGGGAAAAAGAAAAAAAATGCAATATTTTGCAGACATAGGTACTCTCTGTACACYCTGGGACTCTCAGAGAGAAGCCTGGCTAAACTAGAAGCTGCTCACAGTTTAGCCTTAAACCTGAAGTAAKAAGAACCACTGGAGCAGTTAAAGTACAGTGCAGAAAACACTAGCTTGGGTTAAAGATAGGCTAATGCATCCAGACAGCTGCAGTTTCTACACACATGGAAGAGACAAATATTTTGTGTACTCGTATCTGCAGTGATACCACAGGTGCTCAGAASAGTCAAATTCTCAGTCACATTACTGGCACTGTCAGGAACAAGTTTTGATAGGTGGTGAAAACACCACAGCTCAGTACCACAAAAATATGAAAGGTAAGAAACAGGTCACAAGTGGCAGAACTGTGCCAAAAGCATGAAAGAACACTAAATATGTGTTTAACCAGGATTCTAACAGTGCGAATAATTATGGCACTAAGGTGGATTTTCCCAATTTGCTAATACCTATATGCACATAAATGACCACCTTTTCTTCATGAATTCAGTGAGGCTAGAGTTTCTGTCCATGAATGTAGCATGGGGTAGTAGAAGAGAACTACTGTGAGGTGCCAGGTGTTTTGAATGATTAAATACCAGATATTCCACACTCTGTTCCTATAAGTCATAGAAAAGAATGAAGGTTTTTATAATTTTCTACGAAGTCATCTATGGACTCTAATCCTAACTAGTCAGAAAGATACTCTCAGAACTTTATATACCCGTGAATACTTCCCTTTTTCATGGGCCAATTGTGCAGTTCGTTGCACTATAGTATAAGAGTGTACATGCTTAATCTTGAAGACAAACACTATTATTAGCRAGGTAAAATTCTAATCTMTATTTTTTAYGTTATATCCTTCAGAAGAAGTATCAGTTCAGRCCAAGCTTAAGAGAGGTAATTTTGAGGCCTCCAAGAAGGACATGCAATTGAAGGAATGTTCCCATTTTTGAGAGCTTATCTATTAAGTTTTTAATTACTACTTTTAAGCAGCCAGGTCTTTGAATCAAATTACAGAAACCAAAGACGAATGGCCAGCTGAGACACTTAAAGTGGCAACAGGTCATGTTAGAACATGATGACCTGTTAAGAATGGTTGGTCTGCTACCACTCTTTYACAGATGTTACTGCTCCTGCTCTAACCTGTAGGACATTTTTAAGAACAGAAACAACAGTTCAGGTCAATTGTTCTTCAAGACCTGAACTCACAATGCAACAGAGAGGAATACTTTGGACAGCTACAAACAGGCTGAACCTATTTTCCTTGTCCTCAGTTTGTCTTTCCCCGTATAAATTATTTCATTTCAATCTGATGTTGGGTGATGCTCTAAATGACAAGTCAGTAGACAGCCCAGCTGTCAAAAGGAAGCTGTGGACCTAGATCTGGAGTCAGAATTCATAGTGCTGTATAACAGGAGTGAGTGATGTGCTGATTTCCATTTTATCTTCATGCATATGCTTTCTGATATATAAAAATAATTTTTAAAAAATCATAGTGCATTGATTCTTCTGCCTAATTTCACATCTCCCTCCAACTTTGTAATCCACTTACAAYTTCAAGTTGCACTGATATAATATTTAGAAAACATTAAATTTAACAATTTTTTAATGAACACTGAAATTGAAAAAAAATCCTTTAATAATTCTGCCTCTGTAGAGATGTGCATAAAAGAAACATATTATTACTTACAATGCCAGTTTTGCTCTATGCCATGCACTCATGCTCCTCTCAGAACTTTCAATTATTAAAATAAGTAAATCTCTGGACTGAAGCACATTTTTCACCCTTTCAATGAAACTGCTATGCAACAACACTGACCCCTTGTGCCTTTATCTGAAAGTCTTAGTAGCAAACAGTGTAGAAAACACAACATTTGAAAGGACAAGGGGCTGAGACAGAGCTTCAGAGACTATTTGCATTTTGATCYAAAAGGAAAAGGTTAATCATCTAGGAAGTTTAGCCTTATTTCCTCAAGCAGCATTTAAAATGGGATCTATACCTATATATGAACCAGAGATGTAAACCAGAAGATGGAGCTACAAAAATTTCTGTTGGATGTGTATTTTCTCGAAGGAATGAAACTTAACTTTTTAAAAAATTTTGTTCTGGACTTTGACGTTACTTGTCAGGAAGAATGTTGGGCTGACCCAGTATTGGCATGCTGGACTTCACTTTTTGCCTTAAAAGCAAAGTGTGTAAAGATATTTTGTACCTACTTACTTGTATGTCCTTGGAAGTGCAATATCTGAATTACACAGTGAAACAAACGTACATTTCTATACAGCAGTTATGATGAGTGGGAAAGCATGTTGATTAAATCCATTTTCGTTATCTCTAATAGCTATGGAATGTTTGGGCAGGGTGTGCCCAAAAAGGGGTCTTGTATGGCTCTGAATACCAAATCCAGACCAATCTACAGCAAAAGATCCATCTGTTCAGTTGACAGTAACTCCCTATATAAAAGAGAAATCCTTTCTTCTGGTGAAACGTAATGCTCAGGAGAGCTGCTCACCATGGAGGCCTCACCTGTTCTTTAATGGTCCAGAGAACAACCAGAGAATRACTCCCCAAGTATGCTTTATGTACAGTGGGAAATTAGCAGACAACAGCATGAACTGTGTCATTCTGTATCACCTGGAGCAYTTCTGGAACCTCCACTTAGTGCAGAAGACAGGCCTCACTCTCAAGAAAGCTTTTATAAAGTTTGAATTTATTTGGACTACTKTGTTTTCTAATAAAAACCTGGCTGCTGTCCTGTTTTTCTTGCTCTTGCTCCCAAAGTTTGGATCTGGAAATCACAAATCAACTATCCAAAGTTATTTGTTGTCAGGAATCTTAATTACCTATTCATATATGAATTTGATTTCAGCTTACTAAAYTTGCAAGGTTTAGAGTTTTAATAAAGTGCTATGAATCTACTTTAATATTCTGAACTGAAATTAGCAAATTAAAAAATTAAAGTACATAAATACAAATCATCCTTACATTCTGCAAATTGAACTGCAGCTGTTGCTTGTATGGTGCAAACTCCTGAGCCAGTTCATATCCTTCATGGTAAAATGTAAATAATCCTTGAAGAAAGGCCAAGAGCTGAAAAGGTAAAATTGAGAAGCATTATACATTTTTAACTCCTGGAACACTGTGCTTTTACACTCAAAAGCAAAGTTTTTCTGAGAAGTACTCCATGGCGAGACCTTAAGAAAGAGAAATGTTAAAAATGCTTTTGCRTCATGAAGTTGTAATTTCAATCATAATTTAATTCACTGTCCTAGTAATTTTATCCAGTATTTCAGCTGGAATCTTTGCTGGTGTGCATTTTCCAAGTTTAAAATTTCAGAGTTCAAGTGTTTTTCCTTCAAAATATTTTTTCACTTTCTTCATAGTAACTGTGACCTATTTTCCACAAATGAGACTCTAGAAAGTATGTTTTGGATAGCTTAGCACAACACAAGAAACCCAGACTATTTCTTCCTGCGCTGAACCAAATGCAAACTCTATCTGATATGTCTGTGATTGACTCCAACAGAACCACCGTAATCTGCATGTATCCAGTTGAAAAGTCCTTTTAAAGTTTTGGTTCAAAACAAGTTGAAAAAGGTGCAACTCTTGAATTAATGAATTCCTGCCATCTCTTACTTTTAGAAGTGTTCTAACTTACTCTGCTTTAAATTTTAAAAGTGTTTTGTCATTGTTGTAAGTCATATTACCTGCTATTAATTAGAATTTAATTTCTTATCATGGACAACTTCCTTTGTATATATATTTTAGCTTACAAAAAAAAAAGCAAAGAAAACAACAACAAAGAAGAGAAATTAATTTGGATTTACAATAACAAAAGCTCTAACAATAAAAAATATTTTCCTTAATATATTACACCATTACCATATGGGCTAAGTAACTGGCTGTCCAGGCTGCCTCCTAACTCAGTAAAGAACCACAGGTATTCAAGAGCATAATTCTTTTCCCTTTTTCAGACTTCTCTCTCAGGATGGGATGAATGATCCAATGGAAACATTTATCTCTCTTCATTGACTATTGAAGTAGGCTAGACTCAGGCAACAAAAATGCCATCGTTCATATTTAATGTGCTTGCTTTGTGTTACCAGTACCATAGATTATTGTAAGTGAAACAGTGTAGAGATCTAGTTTTTACTGTGCTTATATTTTCTTAAAATTTACTCTCAGCCCTACTTGAAAAATTGTAGCTAAATTGTTCTGCCTCCTCTCTCCTATTACTCTCTAGAAGACTGCTGAGAGCCTGTTTATTGACTTGCTCTTTTGCTGCATTAGTAAGTGAAAGCGGTTTGAGTTGAACAGAGCATCAGTGAACGCATAAATCCAAGTTTTGGCTGGGAGAAGGGCCCTGCCCTTGATTTTTACTGGTATTGCAGGATCAGATGAAACCCTGGCCTCAGGCAGTGATGGAGTAAACCCATGGCTGCCCAGTAAGCCAGTCACAGCCTGAAGAACTGGCAAGTTCCTTGGACATAAAAGCAGGATTTTTGGAGACGCCTCTACAGTGAATGTGAATTCCTGAACCATAATCCACCATCAAACAATGTGTGTGAATGAAGGCAATGTAGTCTCAAGTGGAGGGCTCCACATGATACATCTGTCCAGCTGAAATCATTMTCTCAGCTAAGGACTGGACCCTGAAATCTCTTACTGGTCATTCAAGTGGTACTGAGGAAGGTCCAAATAAAACAGTTTACCTTAAAAAACTCCAACAGTGCAAACAAATAGAAAGGGTTCTATTATTTTCTGTAATTCTAGACTATAACTCTAAATTTCTGGAATTCTGGAAGGAACTAAATAAAGAAAAGAAAGAAAATGAATCTTTCTCTTTATGAATAAAGTATAAAATACACAAATTACAACTACAGCTCTGCTTTGGCTCCAGTTATTGGAAGCCCATGCTCACTCTCTAGAGTTAGTTATTCATTAGTGTCTCCAACTAAGATTCAGTTACTCAAAAGTTGTCCCCAGCTGCCACTCCTTTGGATGCAGCAGGACAGCTGCTTACTCTGACTTGGTTCAGTTAAAAGGACTAACATAACCTGTAAGCAGGAGCCTGCTGCTAAACCCACCCCTTTCAGCTGAAGAGAAAAAACTGAAAAAAAAAAAAAAAAGCCCTTAGCAAAACTGCAGTCACATCACCGCACTAAAACACACTTAAATTACAATAAAGAACTAGTGGAACAAAGTTTCAGTATGTCAGCTTATGCCTGAATTTCAAAGATCAGTTTAAAGAGCATCTCAGGAGAATAAACTGCATAAATTTTAGCTTCAATACTTGAAGAAAAACATTTTTCATCATCCAAAATACTTTTACAGAGTACACTGAGAAATACCAAGGAAAATATTTAACACAAGATGGCAGCAAAGCTGAATTCATTGGAAAGCAAAAAAAAAAAAAAAAAAAAAAAAAAAAAAAAAAAAAAAAAAAAAAAAAAAAAAAAAAAAAAAAAAAAAAAAAAAAAAAAAAAAAGCCCCGAGAAAAATCTGAATTCATTTTAGTTAAAGCACTTCTCAGGTATTCTGGCAGTTGTGCATTGCAGAGGATCTGGCCTTGAGGTTTTCTTGGTTAACCACTTTCTGAGCACTTAGAAAAATAGGAATAAAAGAAAAGTATTATGCAAGTCCTAGATCAGCACATTTAAGTTCTGTGTTGAAATGTGACACTGACGATGGTATTCACTTCAACATACGTGTCACCAGCAGTGGAAAAACAGGGATCAGAAATTGCCCTGTACCCCAAGGGTCTGTGCTGCTAAGGTATCTCCATAATCACTTCCATCAGGTCAGGTACAGCCATAGCATAGCATGGAAGAGATTTAAAAGCCAAAGTCTTTTGCCCTAGAACTATGCTCATAGTAGGGTTTTCTTGTTGCTGGCATTAGAAGTGGCACTGCTGCTAAAGGMAGACTTCCAATTTTAAATAAATTAGTATTAAATAGAATAAAAAATAAKATTAAAAACAAGACTAGAAAATCAGCCCATTTTTCCTTCCAAAGAAAATTTTCAGAATGTGTTTTGAGATAGTGTTCACACATAAAGAGGTTGCTACATCCAACATCACAAAAAATGCATGATGCTTTCATATCAACAACTTTTCATTTTGAATGTGTCTTATAATTACTTCATTCTGAGTATCTRATCAGTCTCATCAGTAAAGAGTGAGGTCTGAACTCCATGATACAAAGCTACTCACCACACAAGAGCCACGAGGATTTCAACACAGACCACGAAACCAAATCCAACTCCTTCTTGAGACTTTATTTATTTTTATGTAGAGCTGCTGACCTCAAGACTCCCTGGTCGTTTCATTCTCACAGGAAGAAGATTGTACTTAGGTTTCGGATAGGGGAGGAATTTAACCTTTGGCCTGCAGCACATCAGCCTGAAGTCCCTGTCTCCCTGTTTTCATTTTATTTATAAGCAGATAGTACTTATTCTTCAGATAAAGTGAACATAATTAATAATGGAGAAAATTCAAGAAAGGGAAACTAAAATTTAATGTCCAMTGTGAAATCTCATGGAAATGCATGCAATTACAGGCAGTGTTTTTTGGTAGGCTGGTCTTTTTTTCTTCTCTTTAAATAAACATTTAATGGACCACCCCTSACATTTCAGACATTTACTGCTTATGAACTCTGTGCCCTGCTTTCTAYAGGACAAGGAAATCCTAGCATCATCAAAGGACAAAGAAGAACTCTAGGAAGGTGTCTGCATTTTTTTTAACAAGTGTTAATATCCTCAGAAAGCCCTGTTGGTTTGGACTACCTTCTTTGAGATCACAAGAGAAAAGCTAGTAAGGCAGATTATTGTCAATTATTTTGATTTTTTATTTAACTAACTGTAAAGTAAGTTGAACACTAATTTATCCTTTAGAAAAAGTTTAAATTCATTATCTGTACRAAAACCTGAGTTGGTTTTTTTTTTTCTTGACAAAAAAATCAAGATCTAGGAGGATTGCAAATAGGAATACATCAGTTACTCACACCAGTACACATCAGCAACCACTTTGATCAAGATGCAGAGAACGAAGAGAAAAACCCAGGGCCTGAGAAGCAGCTGCAAAAGTCTACTCTAAATATTATAATCTTCTATTCACTGTATGAGTCATGAGTGTCTGTATCTTAAAATCTTTCCCCCCTCTCCTCCAGGAAAGAACATACTCCACTTCTATCAGCTTCCACTGTCCCAGCTGTAACCCACCTGGCAATTTTTGCTAAGTTACTTTTTCCACTCTGGTTCTCAAATTGTCTTTATCCYTTGGCATAGAAAAACTGAAGATCTAGAAAGGATGCTCAACAGATCATTTGCTTTTCAAGCTCTATTCCCATGTGACGAATTTGCCCGTCTTTCACATGGGCATCACAGTTTCCTCCTTGACTGCATTAACGGATTTATTTTGTTAAACACTCCTTCAGTGAGTCTGTTAGCAACATGTCAGACTGAGAATGATATGAACACGTAACACTGCACTGATAAATCAGAGGCATAGGCAGAACATACAGTAGATCCACAATAATCAGAGCTTCTGAGGAGGAATGTCCTTATAGACACACCACCAGGTGTCTTCTGCCATRCACACATTCATAAAGCACATAGAGKAAAATTAATAGTGTAACAATTTTTTTGATACATGATTTTTAAGTGTTAGGCTTTGTCCTTATCTAGACCTTTCATCTAGGAGCACATGCTCAAACTTCCAACATCACTTAAATAAACATGAATTTTAGAATGCCTATTTTGAAATTTTTTGGGTTTTTGGTTTGTTTAATTTGATTTTTTATCTTATGGTATGGCTGATTTGTATTTTAATTTACTTTTTTACATAAGGCGTATTTTGCCTTATGGGTTTTGGCAAATGCTTTTATTTCAGCGGGTTGTATGCAACTGACCTACAAAGAAAAATTAAGAATTTTGCAGATTCAAAATTGTATAACTGATGTTATAATTTAAGATTCATCTATATTCAGACTGATTATAAATAAATTCACACCCAAAGTCAGAAGGCATTGCCTGCAAAGGCTATCATTACCCAATCACCAGGGTATTTCCTATACCTTCCCCTGGAACATGAWGTATGTCATACTGGCTGGAATGCCTACTGATCTGAGGCAGTAYGGAAATGGATAAACTCAAAAGTAAATTTTACCTATTTTAACTATGTGCAGTTGCACAATGTTTTCCAATGCACAAGGTCTTCTCAATACAGAAAGTTTCTATTACATTAAAAGAGCATAAAGTCTTCTATACTAGGGTCAGAGCTAGGTCAAGATTGCTAGATTTTTCCAGGATGTGAGAGCTTTGCAGAAGGAGACAGAGAGACACACTCTGGATTAATCTGTGACAGGTAGAAAAATGTTCTTATTTAGAAATCCGAGCAAAGTTTTAGTCTCTAAGATTTGGCAGCTGTATGCCATAAAGATAGGATTTCTGTAAGTTCTGCTTGCTGAATCCAGGTTCATTAGTCTGCATCAATGTCAAACATTCACTACATAATACACTCTCATCTCATGGAAAGAAGGCATCTGAGAAGCTCTTCTTGCTGACACTGGGTGTTAGTGATGTAATTCAACCCACTTCACAGTCAAGTGCTGCTTCAGTAGTTACAAGGAAGCTGGAAGGTGGTGTGGAGTGMAAGTTAACTTGTCATGTTCCTGTTTCACAACCAGTGCTCTGCTGTGCTCAGTGTGCTTAACGGGAAGGGACACATGGAATTGGAGGCTCTCTGTCAAGGGCTATAGGTACTGACTAAATCAGGAAATTGGCAAGATAGGCCTGTCTGTATGACATGAACAGTAGTAATTCTGCTCCTGAGCCACAGAAATATCCTACCATATAATAAAGAAGCTGCTTTTGGTACTGAGTGACCCAGAAGAGAGTTAGGGGTGGGGGATGGAAAGAGTCCAGAAGGAAATCCYAAACTTAAATATGGACATTGAAGCACAACTTTATCTTATTCTTTAATGGAATGTCAACATATGCTTTCCTTTATGTGCAAAGTAAACTAAAGACAAATGACTCCACCAACAAAAAGATAAACTTACCTATCCTACAGAAAAACTGACTTTTCACTTTACTTTATATGTAACTCAGAAGAATGTCTGTGGACACTGCCTACATGAAATATTTAAATTAAAAAACTGGCTCAAAATTGAAGCCATTAAATCATGGTATTAGGGAACATCGATTATGTGTTTTACAGACACAACACTACATRATGTCCCATCAAAATGTTATGCACACTTCAAGTCATCAGACATTTCACTTCACAGTAGATACTAAACTCTTACATAATCCTTTAATAAATGTGGAAAGTGCCCAAGCCAAGATCTTAATGTCTGTCTATACACAAACAACCTGTATTCAGAACTTAAAAATGGAGCAAAAATTTGATATTTTGAATTCAATTTTCCACTTTAAATGGATGCATTCTAAAGAAAATAAAACTTACAGGTTCTACAAATTCAAATTTCTTTTTTTCTTGTACTTCTTGAATTTTAAAAACATACTCTAATGATGCTTCATAAAAGTTCTGATGTTCTCTGTCAATCTGTGTATCTGCCTAAAAGATAAAATGAAATAAGGACAACATTAGTTTAGCCTCRTGATTGCTTTAGAAACAGTTTATGTCATTAACAAACAGATCTTCCATAYGATTACTTCACAAGTTTCATAGGGTTCAGTTTTCTTTCTAAAAATTAGAATACCTCCGTAAAAAAAGCTAAATGTAAGTTTAAGAAGCTAACATGACACATTTCAGGCTATGCCTTTTACTCACTCTTTTTTGGTTTCTTCTTTCTTTTTGCACTTTAATATTCTAGATTTTAGGAGAGCCTGGAGGAAAAGAAAGGTGGCAGCAGGTACTTGGTATATGCAAGTTTAGAAAAGGAAAYAGAAATGAGTAGTGTAGGAATCAAGAAGAGACAAAAAGATAATTATTTCTATTGAAATATTTAAGTATCATATGCACTGAAATCATATCTATTTCTCAGCTTCAAATACCTTCCCAAGAAGRTGTTTTGTTTTTTTTTAAATGGGCTGTCTTAACCAATGACATCTTGCAACTTATAATTTTATAGTATGAGTCATATATTCTGGGAATGTAAACATACTTAAGTCCCTAACCTTATAAATCAAATATATTTCAAGTTTTAATTTTCAAGCRACAGAACTACAAGGCAACAATTGTCAGAAATGCCTAATACCACCCAACATGGAGATCCAGTATCAGATCAGTGTCTTCTGCCTAAATAGCTGAAGAATTAACTCTTATCAGCTGATAAAGAGTAATAGGCTTTTATCCTCAATKTAAACAAGCCACAGGAGAGAGAACTAACTGACATGCAGTGTAGCATGTAGATAATGTTTAAAGAAAACATGTAGATTCCATTTTAATTCATCCCTCTTTGTGACAAGTAATTTTCTCAAGCAAATCCCTTTTGGGCTTTATTAGTTAGATTTTGGTCTTTGGTCAAAGAATTACCACAGATCAACAGCATGAGTAAGATCACTCCACCTATTTTTGCTGCATGTCAGTTAAAATACAGAAGGATACTTCTATATATTCTCTAGCTTAATTCTAGCATTAAAAATAATAGATGCAGGGAAACTGGGAAAGCCTGATGTTGTCTTCCCTTGACAMCATACATTAAACCAGCAAACACATCATAAAGGAGATTTAGTACTTTTAACAGCACAAAAAGRAAAAGTTAGTGTTTTCCTTCAGGCAGGACTTGGCCATCAATAGCACCATATATAATTAAGATTGCTTCTCKACTCAAGGGCACGTTACTATTGTCACTCGGCTGCACAGACTCTTAACGATATTGATCCAACTCCCTAGCCCAGTGTTCTAACACGACTTCAACATATGGGCCCCAAGGATATGTTTCAAATCATTCAGTACCAGCATCTCCTTCTCATGTCTATTAAAAAAAAATTTAAAAAAAATCAGTAAACTAATAATATGAAGCTGAAGTCAAGCACTCAAAATGCCAAAACTTAACTGCTCCACATCAAAATTAACTCTTCCACTTGCCATTCATACAGTTTTTCTGGCTAATGTTTTCTCTGATACTCTGTTAATAGTTTTATCTCACAAAAAACCYTATCCCAAAGACAGTGCTACATAGYGGAGCAGAAGTTTTCACCATTTTGGGATGTGATCCAGCAATCCTTTGCTCACACAAATGCCATCAATAAGCACCTGAGACAGATCTCAGCTCTCTCATTAAACTGCACATAAATAATGAAACCTAGTGGTAGAAACTGTGTCTTTTAAGCTTTGCCTCAGAAAAAGTATTTAAAGACCTAATTAAATTTGTCTCTATTCTGAACAGCATTTAAGCAGGCTGCAGTCGTAACGATACTTACAACAACCAAGTGCCATCTCAAATATGGATTAGGCCRTAATCATCACCAGTGAACAGGGACTAAATCAGAATTCCCCAAATATATATTCCGTAGAAGCTTATGAATTTGTGAACACCAAAGGATTCAGATTTGTAATAATCATTTTGAAAGTTATCTTAAAGTTTCAAAAGCTGAAAAGATTTTAATATGTTTTTTTGTGACTTCAAAATGCATGCAAAAAATATGGATATGATTTTGAGTCTCTACCTGTCTGATATACAGTTATAATGAGTAATATTTTCATTTATATAGGCTATCACTACAATATATATACCAGAACTTCACATAAGCTTGGAGACTGATTCTGGAACAGATTTCAGAGAAATAAAATCAGGAGTTTATAAAAGTTCGCACATCAGTCAATTCTGCCCATTTTCTTCTCCACTGTGGACTTCTGTAGGCAGTGAGACACTACTACAGAGTTTCTTTTTTATGCTAAAGGAAAAAGCCAATCACCTGGTGCAATGTAAACTGCACCAGCAGTCCTGGAGGCTCTTAAAGTATCCAACACAGTTCAGTTACGTGAATATATGAAACTACTCTGTACAGAATATGTTCCWACCATCAAACTTCAGATGCCTGATTAAGGTGCTCTCAGTTGCACTCAAGTGAGATATGAGGGTACAAGAYCTTTGCTCATCCCGGTACTCTTTAACCTACATAATGTGATGAGGTATCAAGAAACCTCATCAATTCAATGAAACTGTTTTTCCCTTGTAGCAGTCAAAAAATGGTGTTCCCATCTCACTGAATGCATGATGTTGGCTTGAGACATGGACTTCCCATCTCCTGCACCGGGCACCAAAGCCCCAGCTGCCAGCACCATCAATTCTTTGCTCGTGCCCTGCTCTGCTGTGGGGTGTTCCAGCAAACCCCAGCCTGGACACAGAGGCTGTAAATGGGGCTCACCCAAACCACTCTGCATGCAAGATAACAGCTATCTTGGAATTCAGGTCAGGAATGGAGCTTGGCCTTCTTTTACCTATAATACAGACACAGGCCAAAATTCTCCCTGGTTAACAGCTTTGGTACTGATTTGCTGTTGTACCTTCTACTGACCATGGGTCTATGTTGCTGATTCAGCACATCTACAGCTGCAAAAAACTGRGGAAGATAGAAATGACAAGATATGCCCTTTATCCTTTGCAAAGGAGGCATCTAGAAAAGCAGAAAATCTCAGCCTCAGTTACAAGATTTTAAACTCAGATATGTCACTTAAGGACATACTGGAAAAAATTATTCTGGTTTTCCATTAGTTTACAGAATGAGCCAAATCCATTGTTATTCTACCATAGTTTATTAGATTCACAGTTGTTACTTTGCACTTTAGTTGCTGCTTTTAGACTGTAATTGTCATGCCCCAAGAATAAATTTTTTTTTTCCATTCTAGAGCTTAAGCACACTTTTTCACATTTTGGTAAGAATTTTTTCTTTTTCTTTTTTTTTTTTTTCCAGCTGGGGTTTTGCCTATAACAGAACTGCTTATCAATACTTAAGGTATTTGGGAGAAGGAAAAGAAAGCTCCAACATACAAGTGGAACAATTAACCAATCCTACGTAACTAATGTCTTATCTAGACAGATTATTATATAGACYGCAACAGCAATTCAGGCACAGAGACATTATTAGAAATTTTGAACTTCTAAGCCTTATTTAATTTGAATTATAATATTATTGGTAAACATGAAAAAGAATCCTATGATGTGATTGAGTGATGGTCACAGCTTTGGTGAAAATTCCATCTTCAAACTAATCCCCATAATTTAAGAGACAACAAAACAACAGTAATACCATCAAAATAATTTTTAACTACTTTTGGCACAATTCCCAAAGTGTCATTGATATCATATTTCTGGGTTTATTGTAATTTGCTTCAAAGACAAGTCATATAAATTTCTACCAGCATACTGAAAAGCCCTGGAATCCTCCTGTTAAACTAGAAGTCTTCATGGTTTGTTTTGTTTCTAACAGAAAAGAATTAGCCATACAGACTCTTCAAAGCTGAAGTTATAGATACAATTTCAGAGCATGGTGCCTCAATCTCAGAGTAAGATGAAAAAGAGGATCAAAGAAGCAGAAAAGACCATCATTAAAGTGATCTCAGTTCAGTCTTCCAGAATGAAATTTATGTGAAACAGAAGCGCCATCTAATCAGTTAATACATTAAATAACAACTCCAAAAAGCAATTAATTAATTTATTATTAATAAATAATTATTAATGAATATGAATTTATTGTTTATTACKAATTAATTTAAAATGTTCCACATGTAACTTATAAAACTCAGACTTTTATTATACTAATAAAATTCCATTGTTGCAACCAATAAGCATTAGCTGTACTTGAAATGCACAAAGTTGCACAAGTAGAGTATTGCTTTGTTAAAATATTTAGCTCCTCTTACTATTCCAAGTCAAGAACTTACAGTTACAACAAGCATGACTACCAGAATCATCACAATTTCACATTAATAAAATACAGCATGACTTGAAGAGAATCAGTTTGTTATCATGATTTCTATGCAAATGTGAAACTAGGTAAGAGTGTGTTCAGTTCTTACATCTTGCAAATGAGATTCTTTCTTCTTTGCTGACAAATTTAAGTGCTTCTCTAAGATGGAATAATATTTCTCACTTTCCTTGCCAAACTTCTTCTTCCCATCCTGAAAGACAAAACATTCCCAAGTAAAGCATTTGACTAAATATCACAGCTAACTTAAATTAAAAGAAATACAGTGCCAAATATATCCCTCATTATAAAACAACTGTTTTTGGTTCCAATATTTTTAGGAACCAAAGGTACCTAAAGGTACCAGGAGAACTACTTCGATTATCAAAAAACAATAGTGAGCAGGATTTTTCCCATAAATAACAAACCCGTACAACAGATTTGCATGGTTTCCCATAGYATAAAACATGAGATTTTTATGTAGGTGGTACCTTTCTAAGCAGACATTTCATACAAAATAATCCTTCCCAAGTTTTCTGAATGTACCTAACTGCCACACTGTCTTTACCCAAAAGAACCAAACAAAAACACTCTCAAAAAAAAACTGTGAAGGAGGTAGGCGAGTAAAAAAAATGTGATAATGATATAGGCCTATCCTTTGCATTTAAGACTAATATGCTTATTTTCCACCCACACTCTTAAAATATGAGGATGACGGAAAAGCATATGTGTGGTAGCAAAAGGAAATTGGTCCAAAAGTCTGTTTCCAATAATATTTCGATGTGTCTGAATWTTTAAGCTTGTCTCATTTATAAGTTATCCTGCCTCTTTCCCCCTCCTCTTTGTTTTTCCCATCATGTGCAATCCTCACATTTCTACCGTAAAACTGTTTTAATATATAATACAAAAGAAAGCTCCTACTTTGAGTAAATTAAGAAACAGCCTGTTTTCTGTAATCAAATTCAGAATTCATACTTCAAAAATTTAAAATCTGCTGTTCTGAAATTTAAATCTGAGTTTCAAGAAAAAKAATGGTTTCTTAAAAGCTTTTCCATCTTTCATTAAAGGCCAAATTTCAAGAAACAGAAAACTGATTGAAGTCAATATCTCATCAGAGTATTATTAATGATAAAAATATAACTTTTAATTATAAAATTATATACCCTCTAAAAAGGAGCAACTCTCTGCCAGTGATTTTTATAATCTTAGTTCAGTCCTAATGGTTAACAAATTGAGTATTTTGAGAAATCAGAAAAGCCTCAGGACAAACAGTCCTACTTACACATGTGCAAAAGCTATTAATGATAGAAAAAACTAATTACTGGACATCATGCAGTAACATCAGGTCATCTTAAGAACTGTAATGGTTCTTTTCCTGACCCCCTTCTCCCTAGAAATTTTTATACACAAAAACAAATAACTAGCTTGCATTGTAGTACCACCCTGTTTTCCTTAGTCATATCATGTGATAGTCAGATCAGTCAGAGAAATGAGAAATAGGAGGAAGGTTGTAATGACATGAATTAAATCTTATCAAGCAGCTGTAACAACAAAGTACTTACTGAYTAGCTCCAGTGACTAAAGCTCAGAAAGGAAATTATACTAGATTGTAAAAACACATTATATACTTTCTATCCTGCAAAAAGTTCAAATATATTTACTATGAAAAATATGCATAATTTAATGTTCTTACAACTTCCCAACAGAGATATATCTTCAGAAGACACCATGAGAGAAAAGAGGCACTTGAGGTAATAAAATATCAAATAACAATACAGAACAATTCTTAATGCCTTCTACATATAATTACAGATATGAGGAGAAAAAGGGAAAAAAGGAAAAATAAATGACTGTATTTTGTTTAGCAAGTGAAAAGAAGCTGTAAGAATTATCTTCCAAAAATCTTTCCCAAACACTTTCTTAAAAGAGRGATGGCAGACAGCAAGAGTCGCCAAATGAGTGGTAAGTCAAGAAATCAACTTTTTTGGGACTGAAATCATAGGTCAGTTTTACAGCCRCAGTTTTACTGGATAATACTCAAGTGCCAGGTCTTCCTCATGAAGGAAGAGCAACCCGAGTAACTCAACAGCACCTTTGGTTACAAACAGAAATTCAGTTCAGTTGATCACACACACAGCACATCTGTTCCTTTTGAATAAAAGGTGCACTTAGTTACATACTGTCATTTCTGGGACAATGATGTTATGCGTTGGACTAGAAGCACAAACCAAATTATTTTAAAATGCAAGTGACAAAAGTGTCAAAGTCACCATCTTGAGGAAATTCTCAAGGGCAAACTTGATGGAATGAAAAGTGCCAGAGAACTACCTTTTAGGGTTTTTTCCCCCATGTAATTGAAAATGGGGAAAGGAGTCTGCCTGATGTCAATATTTAAGCCACTGCTCACATGCTACTGATATTTAGTGGTGGATACCCTATCCACCGGATGAACTACATCAGCAGGTAACTTGACACAGCCTTTGACAATGGGGCCTGTGTGCCAATAGAATCTACTGCACATTTGGACTTAATGCTGTGCTTGCCTTTGCTGCTTCAGAGGTCAGACCAAAGGAATGAGCCACGGAGCCATGGGCAAAGCTCATGCAGGATTACCTATTTCAGACTGGGATCATCCAGCCTTTTTCCATCCTTCCTTCCCTAATAAATTTATGATATGAACAGGTATTCATCTTGCCTTGTGAACTATTTGTATCGGAACCAAACTGAGGAACAGGTAATGAATGAGGCTGGTATCCACTTGAGCTCATGTTGAAACTAACATAACCTTTACTAACAAGAGCTTGAGAAGAGTCTGACGTCTAAGCTGCTCAGTGAAAGCCAAGAAAAAGGTGACAAGGGGACTTTGCCACCTGAAATACCTGCATACAGTACATCAAATGCATGTCAGTCTCAAGAGGGAACCATTGACACATCTAATGTGGTTGTCAATGCACTGAATTAAATCACTTTCATTTTCTGCTGTAATCTATAACAGAATACCTGAATTAAATATTACATTGCCTCTTGATACATAAAAAKAAAAGAACACAAGAAGCAAATGAACCCACCTAAACAGTAAGACCCCTCCCCCCACCTGCTACGAACAAGAAACAAGTTCAAATATACTAATTGTGGTCTTAAGGCATATTGTACCTCACATGAAGCTTCATACAGATCTCCAYGGTGCCATCCATGAGGAAACATGGAATTTGAAGGCTCTCTTGTTCTTTGCCAGCCCTCTCCCAGACTGCACCTCTATCCTGTCACAGAACTGCTCAGCCACTACCTTCATAGTTTTTATACCACTTAAGTTAAAGAGAAAACTACAAAGTGGAGCTTCCTTGTCACCAGAACAACTTCTGGCCCAAGTGAAGTGTTTTCAGAGACAGCACATCTGATCAACTTCTTTTTTTTGCAGATTTTAACATAACAAGACCTTCTCCCTTCAAAGGTAGAAGTTAACAAAGTAAAAAGGATAAACACAAGTAAATTGAGAATAAAGATCTCTTGGCAGTTTTTGGCTGCATTAATGTCTTTACCCAGTGATACTGCTGGGAATAAGTCTGCAGTAYCAGCAGCACAGTGTTTCTGGCATTGTTTTGATTACTCAGATACGTTTCTGGGAAAAGTATAAAAAATACTGGCCTCAACAGGTGAGCAAGTTTCCCTTGCTTGGAAGATTCTCCACTGTGCCAGTAAAAACCACATATTTGGATGTGTTGAAGCCTCTGAAACCTGTTTACTTAATAAAAATTAACAAAAAAAAAAAAAGATACACTGAGAAGCAGGTGATTCATGTCCTGGATGAGAAGAAACACTTCAGTTTATGCCAAAATAACTTGTCTCACACACACTCAGTCRGTGACTCACAGCACAAAGGCGCATCCTAAGTGCAGTCACAGACTCAGCTTATTCCAGCTTTAGCCTCTTCTTCTGCAGCTCTCAAAACACTCTTACACAGAAAAATCTGAATGCTGGTCCAGCAATCTGTGCCTGTAAGACTGAGAATTCTATTCTTTTCAACATGCTAGGAGGTTTTCAAAGAAAGTTTCCTTGCAAAATTATCTCCTCCMAGTTTAAAGGACAGATGATTACTTTTGCCTAGATTCCACACTTGAACAAACCCCAAGGAGAAGAGATGTGGCTGGATGAGAAAGCTTGTGCTGCATTGTTACCAGAACAGACTGCACCAGCCACAACACCAAGCTGAAGGCACATGGCCATTAGGAAGATGCTAATTCCTGCCTTCTGTACTGTCTCTTCTTCCCTTCAGACTCCAGCTTTTTTTTCAAACTTGCACATCTTTCCTGCAAGTAAACCTCATCCTTCCCCTTTGGCCTGGAAAAGTGTCAACCATGTCTCTCAAAATATCAGCTAGAATGTAAGAAGAAAAATCCCACCCAAAATCCATGAGAGATAATTAGGAGGGTGCAATTTAAAAAAAAAAAAAAAAAAAAAAAAAAAGCTATACACAGAATAAGAGAAATCTCATAATATTAACCCTTGGTGTGTTTTACACTGATGTATAAGTCATCAACAGCTTTACAGCTTTTGTCTAGACCAAGTACTGCAGACTCTAAACACTATAAATGTCTTTTTAAAGCTGTTTAACCATTCTCAGGTGCATCAAGCCTTAAATCAGGTCAAAAATATTTACAGTTTTAAATGTTTCAAGTTTCTAGGAACTCCATTAGGAAAGCCCTTAACCACACACTYGGCTTCCAGCATTTAATGGAGCCTTACTAACTTCCAGTACTCTCTTGAGGGACTTAAATMATGTAATACCGGATCCACGTTTAATTTCTGGTTTTATTCTCTCTGCTCAGATTTCCTGTATAGTTTTATTTTAAAACTGATTAGACAACCTCCAAGAAAAGAAAATTATCTTTTCAGAAATAAATTTTGCTSAAGACACTACTAGTTATAGGCATGCCAGTTAGAAGTTTAACTCAAAAGATGTTCTTGTTTTGCTCTGGTTTTACAAATATTTATGGCTATGAAAATAACTGACATCAATTATTAAGCAGGTTATTAAAAAGTTGACTCAGTTGAGTCAGGTGTTTTTTCTTCAGTTCAGAAAGATTTTGATTCCACTGTAACTAATCATACACATGATACAAATCACTGGCATGATTCCTACCAATTTTACCCACTAGCTGTAATTTTAGATATAAAGCAGAAATAGTCGTTATATTTTGAAGCTGACTTTCCTTT